GGGTTTCTCAGTGTAGCTCTGGCTGTACTGGAACTCACTCTGTAAAACTGGCTGGCCTTAAACTCAGAGATCCGCCTGCCTCTGCCTCCTGACTATTGGGATTAAAGTTGTGGGTCACTACCGCCGTACGGTTGATTATCCGATTCTTAAAAAGCAAACAAATTATTAAAAATATCAAAATGTTTAATAAATATTAAAATTATTTTTAATTGTGTGCATGTACAGGCGTGACAGTGGAGACCAGAGCTTAGATCAGATACCCCTGAAGTAGGAGTTAAAGGAAGTTACCAGCTTGGCTGTCAAAGTGTGGTGTGCTTAACCATAGAGCCATCTCCAATTCTGGATTAGTCCTTTTTTTTGAGGGGGGAGGAGGCTGAGACAGGGTCTCTCCATATAGCCTTGGCTGTCCTGGAACTCCCTATGTAGATCAGGCTGGACTTGAGCTCACAGAAATCCAGCTGTGTTGCAAAATACTCCCTTACACTGTGTGAAGATGTGTCACTGTGATTGTTTTAATAAAGAGCTGAATGAGCCGGGCGTTGGTGGCGCACGCCTTTAATCCCAGCACTCGGGAGGCAGAGGCAGGCGGATCTCTGTGAGTTCGAGGCCAGGCTGGACCGACAGCCTCCAAAACAGAGAAACCCTGTCTCATAAAACCAAAATAAATAAATAAATAAATAAAGAGCTGAATGGCCATTAGCTAGGCAGGAAGAAGTTAGACTTCTGGGGACAGAGAGGACTCTAGGAGAGGAAGAAAAGTGCCAGCCAGATGCAGAGGAAGTAGGGTGGGCAGTTCAGAGTTAAGGTAACTGTGCCACATAAAAGAACATAGATTGCTCTCTTTTCTCTGTTTATCTTCATTTCTCTCTCTTCTCTCCCCTCTCTCTTCTCTTCCTCCTCTCCCTTCCCCTCCCCCAATAAACTTCCAAAAAAAAAAAAAAAAAAAGAGCCGGGCAGTGGTGGAACACTCTTAATCCTGGCACTCAGGAGGCAGAGGCAGGTGGATCTCTGTGAGTTCAAGGACAGCCACGGCTATTATACAGAGAAATTCAGGTTAATTTAAGTTATATGAACTCGTCAGGAAGCTGGTTGGTGGTGGCACATGCCTTTAATCCCAGCACTTGGGAGGCAGAGGCAGGTGGATCTCTGTGAGTTCGAGCCCAGCCTGGTCTACAAGAGCTAGTTCCAGGACAGCCTCCAAAGCCACAGAGAAACCGTGTCTTGAAAAACCAAAAAGGAAAAAGGAAAAAAAACAAAAGAACCCGTTGGGAACAAGCCTAAGCTAAGGCCACACTTTAATAGTTAACAATAAGTCTCTGAGTTGTATTTGGGAGCTGGTTGTCATGACAAAGAAAGACTCCTTACACGCCTGCCTCTGCTATCCAGCCACACTTGACTTTTTTTTGAGCTCTCTAAATTCCACCTGCCTCCTGCATGGAGGGATGTTATTTTTCAACATGGTAAGAGTGCTTGTTAGGCTGGCATGGTGTTGCTCCTCCATTCCTACAGAGGTGAGGGAAGAAAAATCTTCAGTTTGAGCCAATTTGGTTTTCATAGCAAGATGCTAAGAGCTTACCGTGGTTGTTCACTTCTGCACTCCAGCATTCAGGAGGCTGAGGCAGGGGATTGCCATAGACTCAAGACCAACTTACTCTACAAACTGAGTTCCAGAACAGCCAAGATTATAAAGTGAAATCTGCTCTCAAAAACAAAATAAGTTTATTTTCCTTTTTTGCAAATTCTTTACAATGAAGTTTTTCTTATTTAAAAGCAAACAAACAGACGTTCTTATATTAGTCTCTGACCCTCTCCTGTTCTCAAGTTTATTCTCCATAGGAGATCTTATCTATTCATGATCTCTATTATTGTCTCGTTATGAAATAATCTTTTTGTACATTGTGAAGATGTGTCTTTGCCAAGGCACCTTCTGATTGGTTTAAGGCACCTGGCTTGCAGGGCGGTGGTGATGCACACCTTTAGTCTCAGCACTAGAGAGGCAGAGGCAAGTGGGCCTCAGTGAGGTGGATCTCTGTGAGTTCGAGGCCAGCCTGGTCTACAAAGTGAGTTCCAGGACAGCCTCCAAAACAATACAGAGAAACCCTGTCTCGTAAAACCAAAAAACAACAACAACAACAACAACAAAAAACTTAGTTACTTTTCAATTGCTGTGACAAAGCACCATGACTATGGCAACTTACATTGATGTTCACCATTCCAGGAGGTTAGAATTCATGACCATCATGGTAGTGGGGCATGGCAACAGGCAAGCAGGCAGGCATTGGACTGAGAGCTCAAATATCATCTCGATCTACAAGCACAAAGCTGAGAGAACTAACTGGGAATGGCTTGGGCATTCTGAAACCCCTGGACCCACCCCCAGTGACACACCACCTCCAACAAAGCCACACCTCCTAATCCTTCCCAAACACTTCCGCTAATTGAGAAGGAAGATTTCAAATATATGAGCCTATGGGGGCCATTCTCATTCAAACTATCACAAAAACCATGGGCCAGGAAATGCTAAGGAGAGGTAAGGCATGATGGTGCAAAACTGTGATCCAGTACTTGAGAGCCACAGGCAGGATCATTCTCAAAATCCTCAACTGCACAACTGAAGCCAACCTGGGTGGGCTATGTGAGACTGTGCCTCAAAGAAAAAAACAAGTCCATGTATTTGAGCCTTTACTCTGAGCACTAGGGAGGCATGAGTAGATGGATCACTGAATTCAAGGCCATCAAGAGACCCTGCCTCAAGAAAGAAAAATCATATAGCTGGGCTGTGGTGGCACATGCCTTCAGTCCCAGAACTCAGGAGGCAGAAGCAAGCAGGTCTCTGTGAGTTTGAGGCCAGTCTGGTCCTCAGAGACAGTTCCAGGACAGCCAAGGTTGTTTCACTGAGAAATCCTGTCTCAATAAATAAATAAATAAATAAATAAATGTTCATAGGAAGTCAGTATACAGTATTTAAATTTAGCCAGGCTTGGCGGCGCACACCTTTAATCTCAGCTCTTGGGAGGCAGAGTCAGGCAGATCTCTGATTGAGTCCAGCCTGGTCTATACAGTGAGTTGCAGGACAGCCAGGAATACACAGAGAAACCCTGTCTTGAAGAACCAAAACTAGGGCTGGAGAGATGGCTCAGCAGTTAAGAGCGCTGACTGCTCTTCCAGAGGACCTCATGGCAGTTCATAACTGTAACCTTAGTGGCAAAACCCATGACAAAACACTAATGCACACCAGGCATTGGTGGTGCACACCTTTAGTCCCAGCACTTGGGAGGCAGAGGCAGGCAGATTTCTGTGAGTTCCAGACCAGCCCGGTCTAGAGAGCGGGTTCCAGGATAGGCTCCAAAGCTACACAGAGAAACCCTGTCTCGAAAAACTAAAACCAAACAAAAAAATCAAAACACTAATGCACATAAAACTGAAAGAAAAGAAAAACCAAAATAATAATAAATGAATACATTTAGAATGGGTGGTAGGGGGCTGGAGAGATGGCTCAGAGGTTAAGAGCACTGGCTGCAGCCGGGCAGTGGTGGCACATGACTTTAATCCCAGCACTCGGGAGGCAGAGGCAGGTGGATCTCTGTGAGTTCGAGGCCAGTCTGGACCAACAGCCTCCAAAACAATACAGAGACAACCTGTCTTGTAAAACCAAAAAAAAAAAAAAAAAAAAAAGAGCACTGGCTGCTCTTCCAGAGGTCCTGAGTTCAATTCCCAGCAACCACATGGTGGCTCACAGCCACCTGTAGTGAGATCTGGTGCCCTCTCCTAGAATGGGTGGTAGAAGATATGGATGGTTGGACTGGAGAGATGGCTGATCTTACAGTAGGACCTGAGTTCAGTTCCCAACACCTACATCAGATGACTCACAATTGCCAGTAATCCTAACTCCAGGGGGGTCCAAGGCCCTCTTCTGACCTTTGGGGGGAACCTGTACTTATGTGTATATTTCCACATAGAGACACATACATGTAGTAAATTAATATATAAATATAGTAAATTAATAAATAAACCAAAAACAAACAAACTGCAAAACCACAAGCTGAAAGTAGATTGCCTTTGGGAAGTGGGCCCAGAGGAGTGACAGAGTAGAGGGAGTGGTACTTTCTCATTCTAAATCTTTCTGTAATAGTGAACTGCAAGTAGAGTTAAGTCCAAACGCTTAGAAATAAAACGTTGTTACTCACGGTGTTCCTGACAGCAGTAGCATGCCCTGGCCCCCTGTAGCTTCTTAGAAATGCAGACTTACAGGGCTGGAGATGGCTCAGCATGTAATACATGTAATAATAACACATATTGCTCTGAGAGGGCCTGGGTTCATTCCTCAGCACATGCTTTGCACAACTCATAACTGTTAACTCCAGCTTCCAGGATCTGATGCCTCTAGACACCTGTACTCATGAGCACAAACCCTCAACTCATGTGAACATGAACATGTAATTAAAATAGAAAATAAATCTTTTTTTTTTTTTTTTTTGGTTTTTCGAGACAGGGTTTCTCTGTAGCTTTGGAGGCTGTCCTGGAACTCGCTCTGTAGACCAGGCTGGCCTCGAACTCACAGAGATCCACCTGCCTCTGCCTCCCGAGTGCTGGGATTAAAGGCGTGCGCCACCAACGCCCGGCTAGAAAATAAATCTTTTAAAAGAACTTTAATCCTTGTACTGTTGAGGAAGCGGCAGGGGGATCTCTGTGAGTTTCAAGGTCAGCCTACTTTACAAAGCAAGTTCCAGGACAGACAGAACCACACAGTGAGACCCTCTCTGTCCCTTCCCCCAACTCCCCCAAAAGGCAATGCCCTAACTTCACAAGGCTTTCAGATGACCCATATTTAAGCTGAGGAAGCACCTCCTTTGTAAATCCGTATAAGCCCAAGATCAAGACCCTGTGGATCCCTTCGATTTTAATAATGTTTTTTCTCAGTGGCCAGAGGGATACCTCCTATTACATATTTAGTCTGATTTCTAGGCGCTAGGAGGTAGCTGTGAGCTAAGCAGCGATATTCTAGCCTCTGTAACAGGCACAGCTATTAGCAGAAAGACTTTCAAACCCTCTGCGGTCATGTTAGCTCTGACTGAAGTTATCTACTTTTTGTTCAGCAAACGTTTATTAGCTGCATGCCACACGCTTAACTGGCGTCAATGTAGGGAGAAAGCACTGAACTCCCTTGGAGGTCTTCAGTCCCAAATTTATTCGCAAGCCATCCAGGTTTAGAAGTTGTGTGCGCAACACTCGGTATCTTTCTCTACCCGACTGCGCGGCTTTTCTGAGCGTTACGGCGCCCTCCTCCTGCCCCCAGCGCGGCGCAGGCGGGGACCCACCGGTTTCGCTCCGCGTTCTCAGCGGAGAAGGGAGGACCCTAGGGAACTGGACCTCCGCGTCTGGTAGCCCAGCCCTGTTTTGGCTTGGGCCCACATGGAGGGGACTGCGGAGTCCCAGACGCCTGACTTGCGAGACGTGGAGGGCAAGGTGGGCAGGAAGACCCCCGAAGGGCTGCTCCGCGGGCTTCGAGGCGAGTGGGAGCTGGGAACCTCTGGGGACCTGCTGCTCCCGGCGGCACCCAGCACCGGCCACGGCTTGGGGGACAAGATCATGGCGCTGAGGATGGAGCTGGTGAGTGTGGGTGCTACAGGCCACGGGGACGGGGTCCTCAGCATAAGATTATTTATAGGGACAGGCGCAGGTTCCAGGAGTTAGGCTGTCGAGGAGGGTCCCTCCTAGATAAGTCCATATACCCGGGGTTGAAAGTGAAGAGAAGTGACGTCTCATTACCTCATGACCTCTCACTCCCAAGGGTGAATGAAGGGTTGGTAGATCCTGAGAACCGGGTAGTAGGCACAGCTCTTGGAACTTTTCCCTGCCCAATAATCGGGAGGAGGGAGGCGTTACCATCGGTATCCAAGGCCACCAATTTCCTCATACCCCATTATAAGGCAACCGTTTTCTCTACCCACTCCTCCGACAAACTGGGGAAAGGTTTCTTTCCCAAGGCCCCAGGGTGTTCAAGTCAGGCAAAAATAGATTTGGTGAGGTAATTAATACTTGCTGAAACTGCCTGCATTAGGGGCACACTAAAAACATGTCCTTTTCCCTAAGCATCCCACCATCGCGGTACTAAACATTTTAAGACCTTAACAGAGACAGTAGTGACACAGTTGGCCGTTCACCTGGGATTCAGTTTCCTTTCAGACTCCCAGGGTCTCACCTGTACCTTCTTGGGGAGAAGGGAGGGAAACAGTAGCAGCTAGCCTTCCCTGAAGCTGTTCGTCTAGATTCTGAGCCAAAAGGGCAGATGGGCCCCCGGCGGCTCCCCAGGGCCCTGGTTCCGGGGAAACAGATGAATTACACCTGCCACCATTTTGCAGCCAGTTCTGGAGAACTGAGGAATGGCCAGCTAGGCGGGGGCTCAGAACCAGAAGCCCACCTTGGCTGCGCCATTAATAAGTCTTCCTGGGGCCCCACTGCGTGCCCAGCCTTGTGTCAAGTAGATCCGGAAGGCTGGAAGGAAGGACATGGACCTCCAAGCCAGCCCAGGGCTCTCATTCTAGGCTAAGAGAGTCTCCTGGGATGAGTGGTCAGAGAGGATCCCTGGGGGCAGGATATGAATGCCAAGTGTGTGCTTGGCCTTGAAGGTTGTAGTTGAATGCCAAATTCTCCAGAGCAGGCCTGTGACTGTACTCACCTCTGAAAGAGGCCTGGTTTGCCTCATGTACAAACTGCTCAAGACACACAGCCTGCCTAGTTTATCCTTTGAAAACTAAGTTGTTCTGTTTTGGCGTTTGAGACATGGGTTCACGATGTAGCTCAGGCTGGCCCCCAAACACTTATTCCTCTTGTCTCAGTCCCTTGAGTTCTGGGATTATGAGCATGTGCCACCATACCCGGCTGGAAACTAAATTATACTGGGAATATAAACCATGTATCAATGCCCAGCATGATAAATGATATTTTTCTTTTTTAAGAATTTTAAGTGGGAAGCCGGCATTGGTGGCGCATGCCTTTAATCCCAGCACTCTGGAGGCAGAGGCGGACGGATCTCTGTGAGTTCGAGGCCAGCCTGGTCTACAGAGCGAGTTTCAGGACAGACTCCAAAGCTACTGAGAAAACCCTGTCTCCAAAACCCAAAAATAAATAAAGAAAAAAAAAAGAAAAGAATTTTAGGAAACTTTATGTGTGGGAACATTTTGCCTGTGTGAATGTGTGTGTACCACATGCATGCCTGTTGCCCATGGAGGTTAGAGAGAGCATCAGATTGCTTGGAACTGGAGTTGTGGGTGGTTGTGAGGCACTGTGTGGGTGCTGGGAACCTAACCTGGATCCTCTGCAGTGCTCGTGACTGCTAAGCTATCTCTTCAGTGCCATTTTTTTCTCCCTTGAGGTACTGAAGCCAGGACTCTGCACATACAAGGTGAATGCTCTGCAACTGAGCTGTACCGCTGCTCCTACATGCTATCCCCTTCTCACTCAGGTGGGGAATGTTATACATGAACTTAAGCAGCTGCCCGCAGTCACTCCAAGAGCGAAGTCAGGATTTGAGCCCAGATCATTTGACCACACTGATTATGAAAACCTGCTGTGTGCCAGGCACTTTAAGGACATTTCATGTCATTGAAATAAGTTTCAAATGTCCATGGGACTTGCTTCTCATACGGGAAATCTGGAAGCAGGCCTAATCTTTGACTCTCATTCTTTATAAACTTTAGGGGAGTACATTTAACTTCTGGTTTTAACTCTTTAACTTTTGGCCTGTCTGTCCTGGGGCCTGAAGCTTCCCACAGTGTTTTGGAGACCAGAAGAGGGAGAAAATCCATGTCAGGCTCCCTTCTCCCTCCTCAGGCTAGGATAGCATTGATTTCTTCTTGTAGTCTGCTCTAACTGACACACAATGGCTGGGCAGGAAATCTGAGGCCCGGAAAGCAGAACTGACCAGAGCCCTCTGAGGACTGCCCTTCAGATGTCCCTCTCTTTATTGTCTTCCGGTATGAGGGAAGGCTTGCCCTTCAGGCCAAGGTCAGCCCTGCTTTTGGCTTTCTACCCTTGCTTTGTTTTCCTAGTCTGAAGTTGAGCGACAAGCCAGATTCTGAGATGTGTGGGAATGGCAATGGCATCGTCCACCCAAAGAGCTGTTGCTATGAGCAGCCACCTCCACACAGCAGTTTATGAGACAGCATTAGGCAAGGAATGGGGGAAAGGCATGAGTTCAAGTTTTGTCTCCTGATGTATGTTGTGGTCTTAAGGAGGGTTCTGTCTGAAGAGGTTTTTGCTCTTATAGGTTTTTGTCCTTTGATGGAAAATAAGGGCATAATTGTGGAACTAGACAACTGTTAAGAACTTTTATTTTAGTGACAATAGTTAATCCCAACAGTCAGTTACCAGGATCTAGAAACTGGTCTTCAGGCTTTTAACCTGAGGCCTGATTTGGGCTGAGCAAAGAAGGAGCCCTGCCCAGGACACCTGGGCTGGGTAGAATCTGATCTACATATGGGGAAGAGATGGGAGCCTCCAGGGAAAAAACATTGGGTGGCCTCTATCTTCTCTGCTTCCAAAGAGATGGCATAAAATGAGTGGTTTTTTTTTTTTCTGGTGAGAAAGCCTTTTGCTTCTATTCTCTGAGGATAATGCTGTTACAGTCAGGGAATCCCACTCTTGAAGGATTAAAGAATTTGGTGCTCAGGTTGGTTTCCTAAGCAACACAGTACAACTCAGCCTCTTGAGAATCACTGGACTGAAGGCAAGATGCTCTGTGCTACCTTAGGCAGAAAACCTGAAGTGAGTTGGACAGGAACTGCTCTCAGGGAGTTGAAGACCTGGGGTAGGGAAGGAAGAGACAGGCTGGGGTTTGTACAGGAAGAGAAATGTGGTGGGGGGCTAGGGATGTGATCTGATGGACAGTGCTTGCTTGCCTCGCTTGCAGAAAGCCCTGAGTTGAATCTTGAGTGCTACATAAAGCTGGCTAAGGCGTGGCATGGCTGTCATCCCAGTTCTCTAGAGATGAGGCAGCAGGATCAGAAGTTCCAGAAAAAAATGCATGAACGAGGCCCTGCCTTCCAGAAGTGCTAACCTGGAGTGATGTGGTGTCAGGTGTTCAGCATTTAGAGTTGGAGGGCAGGACATCCTCTGGTTGGAATGCTTCTCCTCCCTGGTCAAGTCCAGCCTAACCAGTCTTAGCTCATGCCTCTCATCTAGGATTGGGTTATGACCCTCCAGGTACTCACAATTCTCTGTAGCAGTTGATTTCTCTATTTAAAGTTATAAATTTATTACTTTTTTCCTATGTTTGAGTGTTTTTTTGTTTTTTTTTTGTTTTTTTTTTTTGGTTTTTCGAGACAGGGTTTCTCTGTGGCTTTGGAGGCTGTCCTAGAACTCTCTTTGAAGACCAGTCTGGCCTCGAACCCACAGAGGTCCGTCTGCCTCTGCCTCCCAAGTGCTGGGATTAAAGGCGTGCGCCTCCTCCATCTGGCTGTCCACGTTTGTTTGAAAGTGAAGCATAGCTGGCTGGACCACGAGGTTAGGGAAACACCTGGGGAACTCATAGCCTAGAACCTGGAACTAACTTCTTTGCTCACTTCTTTAGGCTTGCCTTCGAGCCATTGATGTGAAGATCCTGCAGCAGCTGGTGACCTTGAACGAGGGTATCGAGGCAGTTCGTTGGCTGTTGGAGGAGCGGGGGACACTGACCAGCCACTGCAGCAGTCTCACCAGCAGCCAGTATAGCCTGACAGGTGGAAGCCCAGGTCGCTCAAGGCGGAGCAGTTGGGACAGCTTGCCAGATACCAGTTCAACTGACCGGCTGGACAGTGTCTCTATTGGCAGTTTCTTGGACACCGTGGCCCCTAGAGAGCTGGATGAACAAGGACCCCCTGGGCCTTCCTGTCCTGAGATTGACTGGGCAAAGGTTATACCCAGTGAAGACAGGGCCCGGACTGAGGTGGACATGACATCCACTAAGCTTGGGAGCTTAACAACTACATGGACGCTCCCAGGGGACAGGCTTCAAGGTGGACCACCTGAGATATCAGAGGATGACAATGCTAAGCAGGGCTTTGAGGCTCACTGGTACTGGGGACAGTGCCAAGATGATGTGACCTTCTTGTAAAAACTTTTCCTATTTGTGCTTTGTGGCTCTTTCGACTTGTGGCCCGAGTCTCCCACAATTTTCCCTCAACCTCCAACTAGACAGAAGCTATACTGAAATCACTTACCACAGAAGCCTAGCTGGCTTCTCCTTCTGGTCCCTGGAGAGCCTCTGCATTTATCCCTCAATTATTGGGTCCCTAGAGTTATTTCCATAGAGATATTGGCTTTAGAGACCTAGCCTGTGGCTCCTGATGTAAGGGTATCTCCATGCCCCTCCCCAGTAAGGTGAAGTTTTATGAAACTTAGGGCCTCTTGGGCATCACTGAAGAGATGGGGGAAATAATCAACTTATCCAAAGCCTAGGAGCCGGGGATGCCTCTTACAAAAAATGGAGAACTGAGGAGGAGCATTCAGGGCCAAACCTCCATGGATTGGCCCCCCTAGATGCCTTTTGAGTTGGGAGACCAACCCTATCCTGCCTGCTGAGTGATGTCACTTCCTCTCCTGATACATGAAGACTGCTTCCTCTATAGCAGTCTCGTTGGAATGGAGGGTATCCTAGTCCCTGTTGTCCTGCCATTGTCTCTAAAGAGAGGGAATGCATCTCTATTCCTGCAGATATCTATGCTGTTTTTCTCAAGTTCTTAATTTTCAAACATGGTGTTTCATTTTGTCCTCAAGGATCTCACTTCTGTGGCTACATACCTGTTCAGTGCTGCAATGATACTCTTACTGAGTGAGAACCTCAGAGGCCTCCACCTCAGCTCTCAGATATTCTTGGCCCACTTACTGCAGACCCCTGTAACCCCTGTCCTGCCCTGTCCGTGTTTCCTGCTCCAGATCGATCTGTCTGCCAGGAATTCAGCTCGAGTGTCTTCACAGCTCAGTTTGCTCTTTTGGTCTCTGTATTTTTATGTGCCCCTCATCCCACTGTTTGGAAATTAGGAAAGTGAGTTCTCGGGGCTCTGGGGGCACTCTCAGATGGGGGGACGATCTTGTCTCTGACTCTGTGCTCACTCTTCCCTTGTTCTGGCCATTCTTCCACCATTTGGTCATAAGGATGCCTTCCTGAAGTTGAGACACAAGGAAGCCCATTGTCTGAGCTCCATTGTGGAACTGTGGCAGGAAAAGACAGAGGCCCTGTGGTCCCTGGGCCTCATCAGGGGAAAGAGACTGGAAGCCCTGTAGGGAACTTGAAGGGTAATTGGAATTGACTCTAGAGTTGGATTCCAAGGCCCTAGCTAATTTCACCAGAGAAGAAATTCAGGGAAATTGCCATACTGGGGCTCAGAGAAGGGGCAGGCCCAGAGAAGGGGGCAACAAAGGCTGTGATTAATAAATAAATAAGCTGGGCACTCAGGAGGCATAGAGAGGCAGGTGCATCTCTATGAGTTCCAGACCAGCCAAGACTATATACATAGTGAGACCCAGGCTCAAAAACAAAGAGCTGGCTGGTGGTGGCTCAAGCCTTTAATCCCAGCAGACACAGGTGGATCTCTGTAATTCAAGGCCAGGCTGGTCTACAGATCAAGTTCCAGGACAGCCAAGGCAACACAGAAAAACCCTGTCTCCAAAACCCAAAACCCAAACCAACAAAACAAAAACAAAGAAACTAGAGTGACTTCTTGGAGGTTAACCCTTTGAGTCCCAGGTAACTGCCCTGTCTTTCCAGGGTCCTGAAATTGGATTACTGGAGGGGAAAAGGGTAATCTTTGTTCAGAGTACCCTACTGAGTTGGAGGAGTCTTCTCCCAAAACAGTCATTTTCTGCTTTTCAGAAATTCCATGCTGGGGAAGGGAAGGTAACCAAATTGATTTTGTCTACTCTGGTCTCCCCAGTCCCAACGCCTCACTAGTTTTGCAACCACCAAACCCTACAGCAGTTCAGTCCCTGCTCTCCTATAGACGATCCTCTTCTTCCCTGCAGTCAAAGCGATGCTATTTTTACAGCGACCTCAGGCCTCTCCTTACTGTGCCCCATAGTTCTGGGACTCCTGCTCTCTTTTCCTCAGATCGGAATTTCGGATGCCCTGTCACAGTCCACATTCTGAGCCATCTATAGTGTTCCTTGAACAGCCAACCACCTTTCCTCTTTGAAGCTGCTGCATTCCTTTTCTGAGTTACAGTTCATCTGCTATAAACTTAGGAGCTGAAGAGGTTGCCTGCCTCCTTGTGGCCAGTATGCAACATTGCTGGAGTTGTTGGGTGAAATCTCCGTTTAAACTGATTCAATCTAGCCTTTGAGACCAGCTTCCTCATCCCACAGAGGGTTAGGCGGAGAGATGGCATAGATTTGCCCAGTTCTGCCTGTTGTAAACTGTAGCACTGGGCATGTCAGAGAACCTACTGCCTCCTGCAAGCCCACAGCTCCATCGCTGTTCATACTGCTCAGTCAACACCCCAGTGCCCAAAGGAAGATTTGAGACCTAACTGATTATGGTGCCACACGTCTGGCCTGTAATCCCAGCACTTGACATGTGGATACAGATTAGGAGTTCAGCTACACAGCTGGCCTGGAGGAACATGTGGACAATCCTGCCTCGGCTTCGTGAGTGCTGGATCACAAGTGTGAGCCACCACACTTTGCTTTGGGCATCCTGTCTTGTCACCTTTAGACTCCATTTCATCATCTGAGGAGTCTGCAGGTCCTTCCTGCATGCCTCTAGGCTGCTTGGATGAGGCTTGGATGTCCTGTTAGCATGGGCTTTTACGGTATAGATAGGAGCTGTTTGGGAGCTCGGGGAAGTGGGGAGAGGTAAGAGATGCAGAGAGACAAGAATGAGATGGGGCAGGGTGAAAGCCTGAGCAGGGGAAAGCACACTGCTCTCCGAGGAAGCTGGGGCCATCCTCAGAACCCATAATGCAAAGATGGCAGCTGGGGAAACACCCAGGAGCCTGAATCCATCTGTCCAGGGGACATGAGATCATGGGAGAGGTCAGGTGTTAGGTATTTGGAGGGAACTGGGAGTGGTGGTAGTGGTAGTGAGGCTGAACCATAGGTTGAATGGAAGTTGAGTGGCAGTTTCAGTTAGAAATATTTGGGGTTACAGTGAACACAAAGTCATTGTGGGTATGGTGCCAGGTACATGCTGAGTATTCAATTACACACATTCAAAGAATAATGAATGGGTACGTATAAGCCCTCAAGGAAATGTAATGTATGAAAAGAAAATTAACCTGGTTTATACATTAAGCATTTAAAAACATTGTTTCTTAATCCTATAAACAGCCCATTGTTACCAACATATTGTTGGATAGAAATTTGCTAATTTCAGATAGGTAACATATAAATTATTGTTGCAGATGATGAAAGTCAAGGTGATTGTAAGGCCTTCCTAGAAATCCATAGCTCCTCCTCCACCCCCTCAGTCACTCTTTTCTTACTCTTCTAGGAGATCAGGCAGTATATTGGTTTGCTGTTGCTGATGTAATGGATTACCACAAACTCTAGTTAGGCTGGGCATGCTGGCACATGCTGGCAGGTCTAGCTCTCAGGGTGCTGGGGCGGGCCGGTTGCAAGTTTGAGGCCAATTTAAGAAAAGGAATCAGACTTGGGTGAAAACCCTTAGACTTTTTAAGATCTGTGGTCTTGTGACCAAGATGCAGGGTTTCTGTAGGCCGAATCCCTGACAGTTTCTCCTTTACAGTACTTCTGTGTGTTCCTGTTTCTCCAGGCAGAGGTAATTATACTCCCAGGAGACTAACCCAGGCTCTCCCTGGGAAACACACACACACACACACACACACACACACACACGTCTCCTTTTTACATTTTTTTATTCCTTAGTGTTTAATTATTGTTGATACTAGACCCATTTCTTTCTCTTTTTTTAGTTCCTGATGACTAGTCTCAATCTTCTCTTGGACATAGGTGTATACTCAAATGTGTAAATGTGTCAATATATGTTTGGAAAAGTATCTTTAAATATATATGTGTATATATGTGCTTATGCATGTGTATATGTATGATTCTGGGCTTTTACATGTGTTAATATATACATATGGTATACTTTGGTATAAACTGACTTCTATAATGACTTACTCTCATAACACAACACAAGACTTATTTTTCACTAGTCCCACAGAGCACAGATATTCCTAGTTGGACAGCTCTTCCCTGGGCTCTTCTCTCTGCCCAGGTCAGGCTCCACACTCCTCCCAGTTTCAGATGATGATATCCTGATTCCTGCACCATGAATTTTCCCACCAACATTTTACCAAGTTGTTTTACCATCCACCAATAACTCTTTCATTTCACTGGGATTACAAAACTGTCATTTCCTGACACTATTAGTACATTTTTATTTATGAGCTCCAGTTCTGTACCAAAAAAAAAATCATACATCAGGACCATTTAGTTACTCTGAAATAAAGTTCATACCAGAATGATAAGACAAATGCTTATGTGTCCTCCATTCCCCGTCCCACCCCCTTCTTTTCTTGAGACAGAGTCTCACACAGCCCAGACGGGCCTTGTGAACCCACTCTACAGCTAAGGCTGACCCTAAACTCCTGATCTTGCTTCCATCTTCCAAGTACTACACCACTCACTAAACCTGGCATCACAAACCCAGTGTCTCACTTCCTAGTCCAGGTTAGCCTGGAACTCAAGGATCCTCCTGCCTCGGACTCCTGAGACTAGGATTCTATGTGTATACTGCCATGCCTACTTTTCCATGTCATTTTCTTTTTTTTTTTAAGTTTTTTTGAGATAGGGTTTCTCTGTGTAGCCTTTTAAAAAAGTTACTTTTGCCAGATAGTGGTGACATACGCCTTTAGTCCCAGCACTTGGGAGGCAGATCTCTGTGAGACCAGCCTGGTCTACAGAGTGAAAAAAAAAAAAGACAAAACAACTTCCTTTATCTTTTTTGAAGACCTTAGTTTATCAGGAGTAGGGGTGTATGTCATAGTGCATGTGTCAGATGACAGCATGTAAGAGTTGTTTTTTTTCCTTCTACCATGTGGGGACTAGGGATGGAATTCAGATAGTCAGGATTAACAGCAAATGCCTTGACCCACTGAATCATCTCACATGCCCATGAGGACCTGGACTTGATCCTTAGAATCCACATTTAAAAAGCTAGGTGTGGTGGCCAGAACTAAGGGAGGGTGAAACAGGCAAGCGTCTGGCTCATGGGCCAGTCTTTACTAGGGTACCTGGTGAGTTCCAGGCCAATGAGAGACCCTATCTCAGAACACAAGGGGCAGTGCATGATGAATACCCAGTGTTGCAGACTACTACCTTAATGTAAACGTGTTACATCTGTTTATGCTGCGTTTGTATAACTATGTGAAGAAGTGCTGCTGTTTTACCTTGCCTGCCTAAAGCACCTGATTGGTCTAATAAAAAGCTGAATGACCAATAAGTAGGCAGTACAGGGATAGGTGGGGCTGGAGGGCAGGGAGAATAAATAGGAGGAGGAATCTAGGCTTGAGAGAGAAGAGAATGAGAGGAGAGAATGAGGGAGATGCCTGGGGCCAGTCAAGTAGGCAGCTGCCAGTCGGCCAGACACGGATTAGGACACACAGAGTGAAAGAAAGGTAAAAAGCTCTAAGGCAAAGCAAGAGGAAGAGAAACAGGTTAATTTAAGTTAAAAAAAAAAAGCTAGCTAGAAAAAGCATAAGCTAAGGCCATGTATTCTAACTAATAAGACATGTCTGTGTCATGATTTAGGAGCTGGTTGGTGGCCCAAAAGAAAGCCTGCTACAACCTAGTGTTGTCCTCTGCCTTCCAGACACCTGTACACATCTGCCTACACACATCCACATATAAGTGCACCCGAGCACACACTCAAGAACATTCAAAACTCAACACTGAAAATGAAACAATCCAGGATGACAAGATAACAGGCTGGTAAAGGGACTTGCTGCTAAGCCTGTTTGATTCCCCAGGGCCCACTCAGTGGAAGGAGGTTTTGAATGTGGTGGGGATGGGAGGAAAGGGAGCATGGGACTCAAAGAGACACCAGACAGATTACTGGAGCCTTAGGATTTTATTTTAATCTGACCATGATGATTTGGGCGATCTTTCTCCTCAAAATCATGGGGATTAACATTACTATTGTCCCTTTTTTTATGGTGGTGTTAATCCCAATGATTCAAGGAGAAAGACCACCAACCCAGAGAGATAATAGCGTGGTGGAGGAGTGTTCAGGCCTCAGCCTGAGTCGTGGTAGAATAACTAAATGGAATCAGAGCAACGTGGCAGAGGAAGGTGCCTCTTTTTTTTCTTAAGATTTATTATATATACAGTGTTGTGCCTGCATGTATGCCTACATGCCAGAGGACACCAATCTCATTACAGATGGTTATGAACCACCATGTGGTTGCTGGAAATTGAACTCAGGACCTCTGGAAGAGCATCCAGTGATCTTAACCTCTGAGCCATCTCTCCAACAAGGGAGCCTTTTTTTTTTTTAAGAAAGATTTTTATGTATATGAGTGCTTGCTTGTCTGTATGTTTATCTGTGTAGCATGTGAGTGCCTGATGCCCCTACAACTGGTTTTGAGCTACTCTGTGTGCTGGGATCTGAACCTGGTTCCTCTGCAGGAGCAATATGTGCTCTTAAACCACTGAGCCATCTCTCCAGGGCCCGGATACCCTCCTCTTAAACCATTTGAGAATTGGGGAGGCTCAAGCAGAAGCCACAGCCAGGCTCTCAGATTCCCAGGCTGGAGGCAGGAAGCAAGAAAGAGGATGGGGAACAGGATATGACACCCCTTTGAAGTGAGTTTATAGCATGTCTGCTAGTTTGGCCTTACAATGTCCCAGTAGGGAGCCTGTCAGTATCTGTGAGGGAAGACTAGATTCTAACTTTTTTTTAAAGATACATATTTTTTAGGATTATTTATGTTTTTTGAGTGTTTGGCCTGGGTGTATGCATGTGCACCACGCGCATGCCTGCTGTGAGTGCCCCCATGTGGGTGATGGGCACTGAACCTGAGTCCTCTGCAAGGGAAACAAGTGCTCTTGACGATCAAGCTGTCTCTCCAGCCTCCTGATTTTTTTTTTTTTTTTGGTTTTTCGAGACAGGGTTTCTCTGTGGCTTTGGAGGCTGTCCTGGAACTCGCTTGGTAGTCCAGGCTGGTCTCGAACTTACAGAGATCCGCCTGCCTCTGCCTCCCGAGTGCTGGGGTTAAAGGCGCGCGCCACCAACGCCTGGCTCAGCCTCCTGATTTTTATTTTACATTATGTGTATACCTGTGTGTGTGCATGTGAGTGTGGGTGCTGGAAAAGGCTAGAGGCATTAGATACCCTAGAAGTTCTGGTAGAGTTAGAGCAGTTGTAAGCCATCCAACTGCACTCCTCTGGAAGAGCGGTGTATGCTCTTAACTGCTGAGCCATCTCTCCAGCCCAACCATTACACTCTAATAAAAGAGAGCAACTGAAACTTGATGGCTGCTAGGAGAGGAAGAGTCAGTTTTCTTTCGGGTTGACAGTCACCTTTAATTCCAGCGAGGGACTAGGAGTAGCATAGATTCCATGACAAGCAGATAGGGAGAGGACCTGTGACTACACAATAAAAATGGTCAATTTTCAAGATGGCTGGTTGTTTCTTTGTCCTCTTGACCTAAGACAAAAACCTGGCAGCTTAAAGGCCTGGCAGGCTTTTTCTCTGATAAGGACGTCAGCTTGTGGTTCAGTCCAACCAATTCAGGGTTAAACCAGGATGTGTTCACCCCAAAGTTGTAGACCCACCCTAACAGCCTTCCTGTCTTTATTAAAACTGACCAATCTGAAATTAGGGGAGACCCCTCCAAAGACCCTTAAACCCCTAACCCTCAAGGAGAGACAAGGCTCCTTTGTACAGAGTCCTCCCCTCTGCTTGCAAGGGGTCCTTTTCTGTGAGCTCCTTGCTTTTGCATATCCTCCTACGCCTACTGAAAGTCTTTTTTCCTCTGTGTAACTGTCCTGCCTGTCCTGGAACTTGCTCTGTAGACCAGGCTGGCCTCAAACTCACAGAGATCCGCCTGCCTCTGCCTCTCCAGTGCTGGGATTAAAGACATGCACCACCATCAACCAGCCTGTTTTTGTTTTTTTGAGCCAAGGTTTCTGTGTAGCCCTGACTGTCCTGTAACTCACTCTGTAGACCAGGCTCTGTAGAGATCTGCCTGCTTCTCCTTCCCTGTAAGGATAAAAAAAAAGAGATAAAAAGTGAAGTGGGTACCTTTCAGCAGGCCCTGCCAAGACAAGTCATGAATCAAATACACCACACTCAACAGAGTCGGTGCATGAGGTTTATTGGGGGAGGGGGAGGGGGGAGGGAGGAAGTGAAAAAAGCAAAAGGCCGCAGGCAGACACACAGAGAGGCAAGAGAAGATCAAGAGGATTAAGAGAGGAGTAAGGGGCAAGAGAGACAAGAGATAGAGGGGAAAGAAGAGACAGAGAGGAAAAGGAGGCAAGAGACGAGCTGTGCCAGGCGGGCACTTTTAGGGGGTGCTCATGTGGCACAGCTGATGGCAGAGGCACTGTCGCCAGGTGATGATGTAACTGCTTTGGCACGGAGGCAGGTTGCTGCTCTGGCACAATCTAGCACTCCCTAGTTCTGGGATTAAAGGCATGTGCCATTGCCATCTGGATTTTTAAAATTAAAAACAATTATTTTATATTTATGTTTTGTGTACCACATATTATGTCTGGTGCCAACAAGGCCAAAAGGAGGTATTGGATCCCTCGGAACTGGAGTTATAGATGCTTGTGAGCCACCATGTGGTGCTGAGAATTCAACATGGTTCCTTAGAAAACCCTGCTAGCTGGAATTTTTGATTCTTAGCTGGTAAGAAGATCCAACCAGATTCCAGGGTGTGGGGCTCATTTCCGTTCCCACGTTTCCATAATTTTTCTGTCTTTCTATTCTGCCTTTTCCATAGCTCTGGGCATGATGTAAAAATCTGTGATTCTAACATACAGAAGGCTGAAGCAGGAGGATCTCAATGAGTTCTACGTCAGACTAGGTTACACAGTGAGATGTCTACATATCTCAAAACAAAAACAAAACCCAACCCAAACCAAAATGACAACAAACAAATCCCAAACCTCCAAAATGTCCCTGTGAAAGAGCTGTTACCCACACATTGTTGGGCCCTTTCCTGGGAGTGATCCCACATCAGAGGGTTATCTTCTCTTGAAGTAAAAGACTGAACAGGTTGAATACAAACAGCACAAGTTAATCCAATTGCTAAAAAATGGAGAGACCAGAGTCTAGCTTGCTAATCAACTTCTTTACCCTTTAGGGGTGGAGAAGTCATGGATATGGTGTTAAAAACTAGGGACGTTGAACCCAGTGGCTCATGGATGTAATCTCAGCACTTGAGAGATGGTAGCAGAAGGATCAGAAGTTTGAGGCTAGCCTTAGATACACAAGGCCTGTCTCAAAAGAGGCAAAACAAACCAACAACAAAAGAAATGAGGGAGATAGGATAATAAAAGAGAATATATATTCTCTAGGACCAGGTAGAGTTCTTTCCTCTAAAAATAGGTTTTCTAGCCAGGTGATGGCACAGACCTTTAATTCCAGCACTTGGGAGACAGAGGCAGGTGAATTTCTATGAATTCAAGGTTAGCCTGGTGGTATACAGAACAAGTTCCAGGACAGCCAAGGACTACACAGAGAAACCCTGGGATTAATGGCCTGAGCGACCACTGCCTGGTCCCTTCTCCAGCTTTGAGACAGGTTTCTCTGTGTATTCCAAGCAACAAATGTTAGCAGTGAAAGGAACTGAGTCTATGGCCTCACACTTGCTAAGCTAATGCTCTATCACTAGCCCCACCCCCAAACAAACAAACCAAGCCGCACAACAAAACAAAATGGGTACAGTTAGCCTACTTTATAGCTGAGGCCATTAAATGGGTTATAGCTAAGAAGATTCTTTCAAGTAGACAGTGGTAAATGTCATTGTCATGGGTATGCTTTCAAGATTAGTGATGAATGGGACTGTGATAAGTACTTTGTTCACTTTTTTTCCACCCTTTGAGACAGGGTCTCTTACAGAGCTCTCGCTGTCCTGGAACTCACTCTGTAGACCAGGCTAGCCTCATAGAGATCTGCCTACCTCTGATTCGTAAGTGCTAGGATTAAAAGCGTGCTCCCCACCAGGCTCCACTACTTTGCACACTTTAATTCGCATCTGAGAATAAACCCGCAGGGGAGGTACTATAATACTTCTTAGATAAAGGGAAACTGGTTTTGAGAGAATGGGTGACTATGTCTAATTTGAAAATTACAACTCCACCCCAGGAAAAGGTGGCTTATTTCAAGAGATCTCAGACCACTTGGCAGCCCACCCAGCACCAACGCCTCTGTTCCTCTTTCGATTGGCAACTGGTCTACCTCCAGCTCCGATTTCTGCTCCAAGTCTAGCACAGGAAAGATGCTCATGGCTCTAAGATCCCGAACCAAATCCCCAGAAATGTGCCGCCTTTCCTAATCTAGTTTAGGTAGCGACTCCTCTCCACGCTAGTTCATCCATTTGCTTCACCTGCTTGAGTCAAACTCAGCAGCCAGGAAGGCGGACAATCCTGCAAGCACGAATCCGGCCACCTGCTAGTCGTAGCCACCGGGCTAAGCCACGCCTCTTAAAGGTCGGTTGAACTTCTAAGCGGAAATCCAAGACCCTTAGCTGCCCGCCCCTTCCTTCAGGCGGGAACGTCGAACGCCAAGATCACGGAGCGCAGCCAATAGGGGAATGTGGCGGCCGAGTGGCGGGAGGTTCGATTGACACTGCCTGGAGGCTGTTAACGCGCGCTTCGGGAAGAGGAAGGTTAAGGGCCGGATGCCGGAGACGCTCTTTGCCTCTCTTCAGCATCTTCTGAGATTCTCCTCCTCCTAACCTGGACCTTCTACTGGCCCTTCCCAGGTTACTGTGAACGTCCCTGAACTCTTTCCTGGGTCCCTACCTGACCTTCCTCAGATTGAGGTTTGGCATCAGTCCAGCGCTGGTAAATTCCCACCCCTCTCCTAAGGATTCTGGAACCTCGCTTTCGTACTTAAGCCTCTCCCTTTTTTTGTGGCTAGTGATAACCCTCAGGGAAGCAGCCCAGCTAGAGACGTTATTCAAACTCCAATGTCATCTGCCTCCCCTCCCATCCTAGATTTACACCCGGCTCCGCCTAGATTTGCACTTAGGATTTCTTGAGCCTTGCGTTAACTGGCGACTGACATTCCCGGTTTGAACCCACGCTCCAGCCCGATTGCGTCTCTTCCACCCATGACGACTCTTTCGATTTTCTTTTCAACGATATAGCAGCTCCCCTCTATAGCATGCCCTGCTCCTGCATTCTCTGTTGCTGAGGGCTTTTAACTTAGCTGATGGGTACTTGACACCTGACGTGCCTGGGCCCAGGATGGTAAGTGTGACCTTAAGCATACTTAGAGGGCCTTTGCTGCAGGGTCTCTGCAGGTACTCACTTTCTGTTCCCCACAGAGGAGGAGCTTAGCTCCCAGCCAGTTGGCCAGGAGGAAACCAGAAGACAGATCATCTGATGATGAAGACTGGCAGCCTGGGGCAGTAGTAAGTGTTCAAAGGAATAGGGGAAATGTGGATACAGGGCTGTTTGGACAGGAAAAGAGTCTACATCTGGTAACTTATGAAAAGTTACAATGTACCAGACATGGGGTAAGATTAATAAAACTGCTGTTCTTCAGGTAGGTTCACTAGAAACTAACTGCCTCTGTTTTTTTCATGGGAGGAGTATAGTATAAACAAGGAATAGGTTATGTTGGGTCCCAGTACTGCAGAAAGTGGGTGTGGTGGTACACATCTGTATTCTGTGAGCCTCCCTGGACTATATAGTGTATTCAGGCGAGCCTGGGATATGTGAAACTCTTCATTAAAAAAAAAAAAAAAGCAGGGCATTGGTGGCGCATGCCTTTAATCCCAGCACTCTGGAGGCAGAGGCAGGCGGATCTCTGTGAGTTCGAGGCCAGCCTGGTCTACAGAGTGGAATTCCAGGACAGCCTCCAAAACAATACAGAGAAATACTGTCTTGAAAATAAAACAAAACACAAAATTTTTTTTTCCACATGAGAGCATGTAAGGAAAGGATCCCTTAAGGAAGGACTAGAAAACACTTTCTTTTCAAGACAGGATTTCTCTGGAAGCCCTGGCAGCCCTCTGTCTGGCTTTTTTTTTTTTTTTTTTTCTTTTTGAGACAGGAGTTCTCTATTGCGTAGCTTTCTGGCTGACCTTGAACTCATATGTAGACTAGGCTGGCCTTGGATTTAGAGATGCACCCGCTGTTGCCTACTGAGTTCTGGGATTAATGGCATGGGCCACCATACCTGTCCTAGAAGGCACTTCTTGTTAGAAGAGAAGAGTGTTAGCCGGGCGTTGGTGGCAAAACCAAAAAAAAAAAAAAAAAGAAGAGAAGAGTGTTTGGTGACCGTTTCAGATGTGCCTTATAGAGTTATCATTGATTCAGATAGCTTGATGAGCTGATACAAGTGTGCTCTTGCCTGATGGCTTGGGGTTAACTTCTTTATTTGAAGTTGCTATGGGGAGAGTGTATATGCTATGCCATTTAAGCAGAGAGTCAGTTATCTCCTTCCTCTTTGTGGGTTTGGGGTTTGAACTCAGGTCATCAGGCTTGGTGGCAAGTATCCATACTGCTCAGCTGTTTTGAGACAATCCCTCTCCTCTACCTTTTGAGACAGGGTCTCTCATATAGCTCAGCCTGGCCTCAAACTCATGACGTGCCTGGCCTGGGGCTCATTAGCATTGTTGCTCTGCTACCTGTGAGAGAGGAACAACAGCTCCCTCTCACCATTTACAAAAATCTCAGCACTAAACTTGGGGCAGCATTCTCTGCAGGCAAGTAATGAATGGAGCTGTATGTGTATGTGAGTTACTCCTAAAAGCACTGGTTGTTTTTGTTTGTTTGTTTTTTGGGACAGGGTCAAACTTCCTAGTCCAGCCTGGTCTCAGACTCACTAGAGATCCGCCTGCCTCTTCCTCCTGTGTGCTGGGATTAAAGGCGTGTGCCACCAAGTTTCAGTTTTCAGACTTGGTAGATGAGACTAGTAAACATAGTAACCTAGGGTTGCTGTGATAGTCATATATGATAATATATATTAAAAGTTTAGTGTGGGGGCTGGAGAGATGGCTCAGTGGTTAAGAGCACCGACTGCTCCTTCAGAGGACCTGGGTTCAATTCCCAGCACCCACGTGGCAGCTCAAGACTGTCTGTAACTCCAGTTTCAGAGGATCCAATAACCTTACACAGATACACACACGTGCAAAACACCAATGCATGCAAAATAAAAATAAATTAAAAATAAAAAGGAATTTCATTAAAAAAAAAGAGTTTAGTGTGGTGCCTGACAATAAGTACTTTTGTTTTTGTTTTGGGTCTCCTGTAGCCTCAGAGTTGTTATGTAGCCCTAGAACAGACTTGAACTCTCAATCTTCCTTCCTCCATTGTCCAAATTATAGGTGTGTGCCACCATATCTTGCTGGCGCTTTTTTTGCCATGCCCCCTAGTACTGGCTTTTATATTTACTAGATAAAAACTGAACAACTGAGCTGTATTGCTAGCTTGCCTCAACCTACATGTGCTCAGCACCACTCCTGGCTCTAAAAAGTACTCAAGGGCTGATTGCCAGTAGGGTGGTCTCTGGGGTTGTCCAGGTGTTGCAATGTAGCTTTCCCATTTCTCTCCTAGACTCCTAAGAAACAAAAATCCAGTAACGAGACCCAGTGTTTCCTGTCTCCTTTTCGGAAACCTTTGACTCAGTTAATCAACCGACCACCCTGTCTGGATAGCACTCAACATGTAAGTTATAAGTACAACTGGCCTGGTTTTGTGTGTGTGTCTGTGCCTAGTTCCTTTGGTTTTACAGTGGAGTGAACAGCTTGTCCCTAGCTTCTGTGTGATCTGCTGGGAGGTCTGCTTGAGTCTTCTTTTGTTTATAACTGGGTATCAGTTCTAAAGTGACTGAGATTCCTAAATAAATGAGTCAAGGAGGAAGGTTGTAGCGTTGATCAGATACTGTATATGACTTTTTGTTTTGTTTTCTTTTTTTGAGATAGTTGTTTCATGTAGGTCCAGGGTGGTCTTGAACTCTTTCAAAACCTTTATTTACTTATATATGTATGGGTATTTTGCCGGCATGTATGTTTGTGCATCATGTGTGTACCTGGTGACTGCAGAGGCCAGAAGAGGATGTCAGATCCCCTGGAACAGGAGTGACAGACTTTTGTGACCTGCCTAACATGTGGGTGCTGGGAAATGAACCCTAGTCCTCTGGAAAAACAGCCTGTGGTCTAGCCCCAGTCATAAACTTTTTTTTTTTCTTTTTTTTCAAGACAGGGTTTCTCTGTGGCTTTGGAGGCTGTCCTGGAACTATCTCTTGTAGACCAGGCTGGCCTCGAACTCAAAGAGATCTGCCTGCCTCTGCCTCCCGAGTGCTGGGATTAAAGGTGTGTGTGTGTGTGTGTGTGTGTGTGTGTGTGTGTGTGTGTGTGCGCGCGTGCGCGCGCTCCACACACACACACCCCACTGCCCAGCAGAAAATGTTTAATTTCAAGGTGTGCCATAGTTTTGGGATTATCATGAAGTTCCCTCACCTTCCATTGGAGGATGTGCTTTATCAAGGGTCTTTTGTAATCCTTTCGCTCCTGGGTGTTTCCTACTGGTAGTAGATGCAGGTATTTTGTTTTGTAGCAGTCCCTCTAACATAATGCCCTTTAGCAGTGGCTGCCTTCAATTCCATTGATTGACCAAGGCAGACTCTCATTGTGTAGCCCAGGCTGACTTTTTATTTATTTTATTTATTTTTTATTTTTTGGTTTTTCAAGACAGGGTTTCTCTGTATTGTTTTGGAGGCTGTCCTGGAACTCACTCGGTAGACCAGGCTGGCCTCGAACTCACAGAGATCCGCCTGCCTCTGCCTCCAGAGTGCTGGGATTAAAGGCATGTGCCACCAACGCCCGGCCAGGCTGACTTTTTAATTCCTTGTAAAACAAGAAAGAAAAAAATTATATAGTTACATGTACAGCCCATATTACATTTGTCTGGTTACCAGTGAAGGCATGGATATTTTTCTTGGTTTTTCTGTTTCAGACCTGTCCTGGTCTTCTTTAATTAACTTGTCTCTATTCCTAACACACCTAAAACTCACACATGTATATAATTTTCTTTTTTTTTTTAATGGAAAAAGAGTCTCAAAAGGTAAAACTTGGCCGGGCGTTGGTGGCACACGCCTTTAATCCCAGCACTCGGGAGGCAGAGGCAGGCGGATCTCTGTGAGTTCGAGACCAGCCTGGACTACCAAGCGAGTTCCAGGACAGCCTCCAAAGCCACAGAGAAACCCTGTCTCGAAAAACAAAAACAAAAAACAAAAAACAAAACAACAAAACAATAACAACAACAAAAAAAGGTAAAACTTGTCTCGCTCTCACAAAAGCTTTAATGTGGCCCTAGAGATAAAGACTTTAACTTTGGGCATGATGGATTTAAAGAGCCTGCACGCATTTACTTTTACAGGCTGTTGCAAATGTGTATGTGTGTGTAGCCTAGGAGTGTGGGATGGATTAGGGGGGCTTGAGAAATGGCTCAATGGTAAGAGCACTGGCTGCTTTTCCAGAGGTCTGGGTTCAATTCCTAGCACCCAGATGGAAGCTCAAGACTGTCTGTAGCTCTAGTTCACAGACATACATGCAGGTAAAACACCAATGCATATAAAATAAAATTCAAAAAAAGGAATAGATTTGGTGGTCTTTGTCAAAGAGACATTTGATATCTCAAAGTGTGTTGGATTATCAGGGAGAATCTGCAGTTGAAAGGGATTTAAGATTAAGTCCTGAGCCCCGAGGAACGCTGACTTTTTAGGGCATTTAGGCATTTGAGGCAGAGGTGGAAACCCCCACTGGGCTGAGCATGAGATTCCAGAAAAGTGCAGGAGTGGGAGCATATCTGAGAGGAAAGAATGGTTAGCTTTGTTAAGACCAGGATGGAAACTTGTCCATTGGAATTAGAAGCATGCAGACCATGACCCTGTGCAGACTCCTTAGGAGGAGTGGAGGTCAGACTGGAGTGGGAGATCAGAAGGGGAGACATTAAATTCTTTCCAGAAATTTGCCGGTGGAAGGGAGAGGTTAAAGATGGAAGGTGTTTTTGTTGTCCGGGTAGCAGAGGGCTAATCAGGCTGGTGAAAAAGAACTAGCAGGGATGCAACAGCTGAGGTGGAGTTGGGTGTAACTGCTGAAACAGGAAACTGGTGGTTGTGGAGAGTGTGCCGTCCTCCTCCCATCAGAAGGAAAGGACACTAGAGCACTATCCTCCAAGCAAAATAGCCACCATCTTTATTAGATAAGTGGGCATTCTCTCTAAGAAGGAGGGAGATGGGGAGGGTCACTGGACCCTCATCTGGGATTCCAGCCATTTGTATGCGACTCTTCTCTAATTGTGTGTGGTCTGAGGGACCCTAGAGTATCTAGGCTGGGAAAGAGTGAATGAAGAACGTCTCCTTCTATAGCTCCTGGGAAGCCGTCATCCATACTGGGTGAGGACTTTCCAGTGTTGTTGCTCTGGTGTCACTTTTACTCCTGCCAGCAACCTGTCCTCTGTACCCTGTAAGTAACCCAGATAAACTCATTGGTTTCCTAGGGTGAACTTTAGTGGAAATGGTTGGTTGTTAGGGGAGGAAGTAGACATTGTTTCTTGGGGAAGGAATTCTCAATATCTGGTATAAATTATCAGCAACTAGTGGAACGAGCGAATGAGGGCACACTTGTGCCACAGTTTGGTGTTGCTAGACCAGATCCTCGGGTCTAGTCATGCCCAGTCCTGCTACCGCTTCCTGGCTGATGCTTTTGGCTAGGAGTCTTAATAAATATGAACACCCTAGACAGTAACACAGCATGCTAAGCACTGTAGATCCTATGGCTTCTGAGTTCTAGTGTAAATCTTTTTAAAATTTGGAATATGAATTTTTGTTTTCTTAGAACCTAAATGTAGCCTCTTATTCTGATTTATGTATGTATTTAAGTTTCTTTCTTTATTTTTTTTTTCCCCCTGAGATAGGGTTTCTCTGTGGCCTTGGAGGCTGCCCTGGAACTTGCTCTTGTAAACCAGGCTGGCCTTGAATTCAGAGATCTGCCTGCCTCTGCCTCCTGAGTGCTGGGATTAAAGGCATATGCTACCACCACCTGGCTTTAGTGTCAACAATCTTGAAAGTAATTTTTTTAGTTTTAGAATTTAGAAAGTAAATTTTTAGTTTTAGATTAGGTATGAGTACTCTGTCTGCATGGCCCTGCAGGCCAGAAGAGGGCATCAGATCCCATTTTAGATGGTTGTGAACCACCATGTGGTTTCTGGGAATTGAACTCAGGATCTCTGGAAGAGCAGCCAGTGCTCTTCTTTTTTTTTTTTTTTTTTTTTTTTTTTTGGTTTTTTGAGACAGGGTTTCTCTGTATTGTCTTGGAGGCTGTCCTGGAACTCGCTTTGTAGACCAGGCTGGCCTCGAACTCACAGAGATCCGCCTGCCTCTGCCTCCCGAGTGCTGGGATTAAAAGCGTGCACCACCAACGCCCGGCCTAAAGGTAGTTTTTGTTAGCACCTCTTTTTATTGTCTCTGTAAGAGCTGGGGTTATAGGTTAAAGGTATGAGCTACTGCTCCGGACTTGTTAATAATAAGAGCAGATAGAAACTGGTCAGGTAGGGAAGGGACCCCAAAGTAGCAGTTCCATTCCCTGCTGGAGGCCAGAAATGGCACAGAAATCCTGGCTCCTGTTTTCTGAACTCTCCTGCACATCTGCCTAGAGCTGTAGATGACTGTGACTCACAGAGATCTGCCTGCTTCTGTGTCCTCAGTGCTGGGATTTGCACTGCCATGATCAACTTGAGCTTACCCTCTCCTTATGTCCTTTTCATGTTGTTCCCTGTTTTGGACCTTTCCATGGCAGGAAGCACTCCCTGGCTTTGGGCCAATATTCATGGCCATAAATAAAAGGTTAAGTTAAGAGGTCACATGTAGAGGCTGTAGAATCAGAAATGTTCTCCATATGTCATAGCGTGTATGTATTGTGAGAATGGAGGTGTGCATGTGTGTAGACGGAAGTTTCTGTCCTACCTGGTCCCTGTCCCACAGCTGTTTAGTACCAAATAAACACACAGAGGCTTATATAAATTTTAAACTGTTTGGTCGATGGCTCAGGCTTCTATTGGCTAACTCTCTCAATTATTAACCCATTTCTGTTAAACTGTATTACCATGAAGCTGTGGCTTACCCATAATGCTCCAGCATGTTGCTCCTTCAGCAGCTACATGGCGTGGTGTGTGTGTGTGTGTGTGTGTGTGTGTGTGTGTCCGTGTCCGTCCGTCCTCATTGCAACTCACTCTCTGTTCCTCTTCTCTGAAGTCTCCTAGTCTGGTAGCCCTGCCTACACTTCCTGCCTGTCTACTGACCAATCAACATTTACTCATCAACCAATAAGAGAAACATATATTGACAGCATATGGAAGGACATCTTATCAAATGTGCTGTGGTACTCACAGAAGTCAGGACAGCTTCTGGGAATTTGTTCTCACTGTGGATCCTGGGAGCCAACTTAGTTTGTTGTGCACGACAACAAGCACTCCTTCCTTCCTTCCTTCCTTCCTTCCTTCCTTCCTTCCTTCCTTCCTTTCTTCCTTCCTTCCTTGTGAGAGAGAGAGACAGATAGACACAGAGAGAGAATGTGTGAATATGAATGTATGCCGTGTGTATGGGGGTGTTGGATCCCATGAAGCTGGAGTTACAGATAGTTGTAAACCTTCCCAAACTGAACTTGAGTCCTGAAAAAACAGGAAGTACTCTTAACTGTTGAGCTGTTTCTCCAGGCACCTTCTCCCTTTTTGAAACAGCGTCTCATTTAGCCCAGGCTGGTCTCAAAACCTACTGTGTAGCTAAGGATAATCTTGAGCTCCAGATCCTCCTGCCTCTACCTCTCAAATTCTGGATAACAGGTATGAAATACCACACCAGGCTTAATTTTCTTCTTGGGACAAGGTTTTACCTGGGCTGGCTTCAGTCTCAGCATTCTCCTTGATTGTCTCTAAATACTAGGACTATAGGTTTGTATCTCTGTGCTTGCTTGGAATAGCAGCAGCTTGCAGACCTCATAGGGCTCCTAGTGAGAACTAAATCATGATAGGAGGAAACTAGAAGTGGTACATGCCTATAATCTCAATACTCAGGAAGGCGAGGCCAGAGAATTCAAAGTTTGAGGCCAGCTTGGTTGGGGTACATAGACTGTCTTAGCCGTGCCTTCCAGTTATGACATAATGAAAGAGACTTAACTCTTTTAGCCATAATTGTCATTTTTCTGTTTATATTTTACTGATGGCTACTGTTTATATTACTTCTACTCTTTGGGCTATTTAATTTTCAAGGATGATGATATGAATTTATGAAAATAAAATAGTTGGCAGAACTGATACAACAATAAATTTATATGTGGCTGAGGGGTTAACTTGGTGATAGTGACAAAACACGCATACATGTAAAATGAATGAATGAATTAAAAAAAAACCCTGAAGTGGAACATGTTAGACTATTTATTGGTCTGTAATATCTTCAACAGTCCTGAATTTCTGTTTTTCTTTTTAGGAAGCATTTATTCGAAGCATTTTGTCAAAGCCTTTCAAGGTCCCCATTCCAAATTATCAAGGTAAAATGGAGACTTTATTGATTTTCTTTCTTTTTTTTTTTTAAGTTTATTTTGTGATTTGGTTGAGATTGGGTCTCACTGCGTAATCCTGGGTGACCTGGAACTTGCTTTGTAGAGTAAGCTAACTAACTTTGAACTTACAGAGGTCTGCCTGCCTCTGCCTCCTAAGTGTGTATGGTGCTATGCCTGGTAATTTCTGTGTTAGTATATGCTCTGTGTGTGTGTGTGTGTGTGTGTGTGTGTGTGTGTGTGTGTGTGTGTGTGTGTGTGTGGTCAGAGGCATTGGATCCCTGCATGTGTGGCTTGCCTGACATGAGTATTGAGAATCACCCCTAGATTCTTTTTTTTTTAAACAAATGAAACATTCTCTTTTTATTTATTTTTTATTTTTAAGATTTATTACATATACAGTGTTCTGCCTACATACCAGAAGAGGGCACCAGATTGAATTGTAGATGGTTGTGAGCCACCATGTGGTTGCTGGGAATTGAACTCAGGACCTCTGGAAGAGCAGTCTGTGCTCTTAGCCTCTGAGCCATCTCTCCAGCCCCACTCCCAGATTCTTTAGAATAGCCATGCCTGTTCTTGATTGCTTAGACATCTCCAGCATCTGCTTGTTTTGCTGTAGGCTTTTGTTATATAATCCAGACTGGCTCCAGAGTCACAGCAATTCTGTCTCAGGATCCTAATTGATGGGATTACAAGTGTGCATCACCATGCCTAACACATCTTTTCCATTTTTTTATATCAGTTGTGTCAATGTTCCTGAATAAACTAAAAACTTACATGCTAACCTGGGAATCAAAGATGTGAGTCCATGGGTGAATGTGGTTTTTCGAGACAGGGTTTCTCTGTGGCTTTGGAGGCTGTCCTGGAACTAGCTCTTGTGGAAACTCACAGAGATCTGCCTGTCTCTTGCCTCCCAAGTGCTGGGATTAAAGGCGTGCGCCACCAACGCCCGGCTGGGTAGATGTGTTTTGATCCTTCTGAGGCCTATGTGAAGGCTCTGATGCATTTGTGAGAGGCTGCCAAGATTAATTGTCCTTCATCTTCTTGGTGGTGCATGTCAGGGCTCAAAAGCTTTTGGTGGGCCTGGTAGTGAATGAATGATTCTGGCCTTCATTCAGTTCAAGCATGCCCAGTGTTAGTTCCTTTATATGGTTGATTGTGGAGGTCTAGTTTCCTTTGTCTTCTTTAGGAATTGCATTGTGCCTGAACTGGAACTGAACTTTCACATATGAAAGGCTTCTGTTGAGTTTTATACCTTGCTAAAATTTACTTGAGATGAACCTGATGAAGCCCTCCAGAAGTTTGTAGTTGAATGGGAGAAATATAATAGGAAAAAATGCTTGAGGGCTGAAGAGATAATGGTCAAATAGATGCACAAATGGTTTGAAGGAGTTCTGGGAAAGAAGGTCATGGGTATTCCCAAAGGTTACATGAAGGATGGGCATTTAAGTTGAGCATGCTGGAGTACCTGATTATAGACGGTAAGCTCACAGGTTGACTGCTGATTCCCAGGTCCTCTGGGCTCTCGAGCATTGGGCTTGAAAAAGGCTGGTGTTCGTCGTGCCCTCCATGACCCTCTGGAAGAAGGTGCCTTGGTTCTGTATGAGCCTCCCCCACTAAGCGCCCATGACCAACTGAAGCTTGACAAGTATGCACATTGGTATATTTTGAGTAGTTCTACCCCATGATAAGGATTGGATGGTGTTTGGTGTGATCCCCTCCCCCCTTTTGCATTGTCATAGGTTGTCAGAGCTGTTATGACAACTGCACTGTGTCCAGAGCAAGTGGCTTGGAGAGGGTGTGGCTATGCTCAGGTTGTGGGCTCCTCACTACCTTTGCCATGCTCGTTTGCAGCGGCAAGTGGTGAGGGGGGACAGGAGTGTCACCCTTTCTTAATCTTCTGACTCCTAAAGCACTACCTCACTGGTTTATTAATTCCCCGGGGAGAAGGTGTAATCAACCTCCTGGGTCCGCAGGATACTGCTTCCTGATGGTTGACCTTGCCTATGTCTTCTCAGGGAGAAACTCCCTGTGCACGTGGTTGTTGATCCTATTCTCAGTAAGGTGCTGCGGCCTCATCAGAGAGAGGTAAATGAGGGTCAGAGGAAGGGAGTGTGGCTAGGGGCTACGTAGGTGTTCAAGTGGACTAAATGTTATTATTCATCAGGGAGTGAAGTTCCTGTGGGAGTGTGTCACCAGTCGTCGAATCCCTGGAAGCTATGGCTGTATCATGGCTGATGAGATGGGCCTGGGAAAGACACTACAGTGCATCACATTGATGTGGACACTTTTACGCCAGAGCCCAGAGTGCAAGCCAGAAATTGAGAAAGCAGTGGTAGTGTCACCTTCCAGCTTGGTGAAGAACTGGTACAATGAGGTTGGGAAGTGGCTTGGAGGGAGGATCCAACCCCTGGCCATCGACGGAGGCTCTAAGGACGAGATAGACCGAAAACTGGGTATGGAGCGTTAACTAACATGGCGATACTCTTCCACCCAGGCTTTTTACTTGTGTGTTCACTTGTGGCCAGTGTTGATGGTAGTGTGGGACCAAGTGGGAAAAGTGCCATTGAAAAACAGCACAATTCTTTGTAGGCTATGTTAAACAACTATGAGACTGTTTTTCTTTAAGAGCTTCTGATTAGTTCTCTGACACCTTTCTGTTGTAGAAGGATTCATGAACCAGCGTGGAGCAAGAGTGCCTTCTCCTATTCTCATCATTTCCTATGAGACTTTCCGCCTTCACGTTGGAGTCCTTAAAAAAGGAAATGTTGGACTGGTCATATGTGATGAGGTACTTAACTCTTTGTAGTCTGGGTGGTAGAAGATCAGGATGTCAAAGTCTACACTAAGCTAGCCTGGTCTACAGAGTGAGTTCCAGAACAATCTCCAAAGCTACACAGAGAAATCCTGTCTTGAAAAACCAGAAAGAAAAAAAAATTTGAGAGCTGAGCATGGTGGTAAACAGTTTAATTCCAGCAATCAAGATGGATCTTTGAATTTATGGCTTGGTCTGTAGTGAGTTAGTTCTAGGTCAAGACTACATAGTAAGACCCTACCTCAAACAAACAAAACTCTGAGGAGAGTTTAGGTACTGTCGGCCAATTGGTATTTCCCCCCCTCTAAATAGTAATCTTAGACCAAAGAAGGACTCTGGAGATTGGAATGGATTTAGATGTGTAGTGAGACATGGCTCAGTGTTTAAAGGAACTGGTTTTAGAATTATGGAGACCTTTATTCAAATCCTGGCTCTGCCACTTAGTAGTAGTGTGACCTTATACTTGTTACTTAACCATGTCATCTTCTGTTTCTGCAACTGGAAAATACAATGATCATACCTGCCTCTTAGGATTATTATGGGAACTCAGTAAATTGATTGGGGAAGCTCTTATCCCAGTTTTTGGTGTCTCCTAAGCCTTGGTAAAGATAGTTTTTATTCTAGGTTAGGAATATTTGAATGATTAGAAGCACAGAGATAAGAAAGTCTGGTGTGTTATATAGGTATGGTGGAACAAGCCTATAATTCTCGAAACTCAAAAGGTTGAAAAGGAGGGTCAGGCCTAGAAAGATGGCTCATGAACTGTGACTGCTTACTCATCAGCTTGGTATAAGAGTGGCCCTATAGGTGCATGTATTTGAATGGTTTAGTCACCAGGGAATGAACTATTCGAAAGGATTTAGAAGGATTAGAAAGTATGATCTTGTTGAGGAAGTGTGTCACTAGGAGTGGCCTTTGAAGTTTCTAAAGCCTGGGTACATGTATGTATACCATGTGTGCAGGAGGGTTCCCTTGAACTGTTGTGAGCTGCTATGTAGGTGCTGGGTAAAGCACTTGAGTCCGAAAGAGCAGTATGCATGCTTAGCTGCTGAGCCATCTCTCCAGTTCTGTGACAGTTCTCTCCAGACAGACAGAGAGATTGGGGGTGGGAGAAGAGTGTGGGTTTAGGGAGGAGACAGATAAAATTTTACTTTTGTAAGCTATTTCCCAATTGGCCTTTTATCTTTGTGAAAAGTCTCTTATTGATTATCTGGTGAGTTTCCTGATACCCTGATGGGCAGTCCCTCCTAATACAGGTGAAGTACATAGCAGGCTAAGATAGAGTATTTGTGACTATCCTGTGCTCAGGGCTGCCTGGTATCTTTTTGTTGTTGTTTTTATTTTGTGTTTTGTGTTTTCAAGACAGGGCTTTTCTGTGTAGCTTTGGAGCCTGTCCTGGCACTTGCGCTGTAGAGCAGGCTGGTCTTGAACTCATAGAGATCCATCTGCCTATGCCTTCTCAGTGCTGGGATTAAAGGTATGTACCATCAACACTTGGCTAACCTAGTATATATTTTATCACCGTCTAGGGTGACTGTTAGGAGCCTGGTCTAAGTCAAGGAGTTGTATTAGAGAAAGCAAGGTGAAGCTTTTGTTCTCTGGGAACATTTAGATTTATTTATTGTTCCATAGATAGGGTCTCACTCTAGTCCAGGCTGGCATAGAACTTCTGTAGCCCAGGCTAGACTCATATTTGGCAGTCTTGTTGCCTCAGCATCTGAATTCTGGGGTTATAAGCATAGTCTACCATACCTAGTTCAGAAGTTGTTGCTTTCATTTTAATCTGATGATAATGATAGGACTTGTCTGGAGCTTCAGTGACTACTCCAGTAGGAACTGGAGTAGGCTAGCCCATCTAGAGACTCACAGTGCTCATTTATTAGATTTCATCCAAGTGTGTATTATGTACCAGGCCCATGGAATTGTATGAGGTCTTTTTTTCAGCGAGCTTCAGTTTAAAGGAACCCAATTATTGATGTTCATTAAAAGTTAAAATTTTATGTTTAATTCTTCCATAGATGAACCTTAATTTATTTTACATCCAAATAACTCTGAGCAGTATTTTGTGCATGACTGTATTCTGTGCATTGAAAGTATTTTAGAAAGTAAATATGTGGATCTGCTTTAAGAAGTTCATGTCTCGTTGAGATAAAGCCCAATGACTTTAAACTTGACAGTCCTGGGTTTCAGTTACAGCTCTGCTAACTTGTGTAGTGTGATTTTTTTGGGGGGGGGGATGACTGTTTACTTCTCTGAACTAAAATTTCTTCATTTCTAAAATGAAGATAATATTCATTTGTTATATGGATTATGAGGGACTCAGGGAAGAGTCTTCGTTTAATGCCATCATCCAAGGCAGACTGAACAGAACAGTTCTAATTTGTTCATTCTTTTACTGTGGGTGACTATTTATTTTTTATTTTTGGTGGCTTTCCCAGCATGGAAATGAGGAAGTTGTGTTTAGAAAGGCCATTTGCAAACAAGGTGGTGGCGGCACATGCCTATAATCCCAGTACTCGGGAGCCAGAGAGAGGCAGGCAGATCTCTGAGTTTCAGGCCAGCCTGGTTTACAAAGTGTGTTCCAGGACAGCCAGAGCAGTTAATACAGAGAAACTCTGTCTCAAAAAACAAAAAAATAACAGCAAAAAAAAAGAAAGGCCACTTGCCTGGTCTTAGCTGCTTGGTTCTTAGAAAAAGAGTCCTTTTCTATCTTCTTGAAAATAAATGGCTTGAAGAGATGTTGGAGATGGCTGCAGGGAGGACAGGTTAGGGCAAACTGTGAAGGGAAGGAAGCTCTTTGGATAGATTAGCTGTATGGACTGCCTGAAGGTAGAGCACAGCATCATGGCTCACACAAGATATTGAAGCACCTGGCCCTGAAAGCTCTGGGTTGTTTGGACTGGCAGGGAAGGGGAGACTCCTTGAAAACATGGTTCTGTATCATGGCCAAGTGGACTGTGGAAGACTAGTGAGTGATAAGGCTCTGGAAGTTTGGAAATAGATGAATGGGAGGGAACAGAGGGATCCTTGCTTTTGGGGTATAGCATTGGTTTACTTTGTAAGCCCAGTACTTTTCTTCAAGCCAGTATGCAAAGCAGTTTATGCTATGCTGCCTAGTTCCTGCAACCTTAGAATCTGTAACGCTTGTGACTCTTTTCTCTCTGCAGACTTTGTCATTTAATTTTATCATTTAAGAATATTAAATCATCCTAAGTGAGAATTAATTATCTTGCAGGGGCATAGGCTTAAAAACTCTGAGAATCAGACTTACCAGGCCCTGGACAGCTTGAATACCAGTCGTCGGGTGCTCATCTCCGGGACCCCCATCCAAAATGACTTGCTTGAATATTTCAGCTTGGTGCACTTCGTTAATTCAGGCATTTTGGGTAAGGAGCCTTGCCTGCTTTGTCCTTAGAATATAACTCCAGCTGTAGAGAGCAAGAAGATATTGCCAGTGTGGATGCATAGACACTCTTGTTGGAAGACTTCTTTTGTCAGGGAGTAGCCAAGCCCATGCTTGTAATCTCAGCACCTGGGAGATGGAGGCAGGAGGATCAGGAGTTCAAAACCATTTCCAGCTACATGGGGAGTTTGAAGTCAGTCTGGACTGTATTAGACCTTTCCTCAAAAGAGAAAAAGGAGTGGGGAGTCAAAACTGTAGGGTGGCTTTGATTGGGTAGCAACTCTGGAAAGCCCACTTGAGTCCTTTGTGTTCTGCAGAGGCAGTGTTAGCTATGTAGGCGATGGTACACCTTTCGGCTGGAGCTGAAAATATCCCTGTGTGTGCATTAAAATTCTGTGTGATGCCAATGTGGGTGTGTGCATGTGGGTGCCTGTGTATAGGTATCTTTGCTGTCTTCCTTAGTTTCAAATTTTTTCATTCTTTTTATAGTTTTGGTTGTGAGCTTAGCCTTTAACAGCTGAGCCATCTCTCCAGCCCTTTCATATTATTTTAAAATTTATTTTCCAAGTTTTTTTTTATGTGTATGACTGTTTTGCTTGCATTTATGTATGTACACCAACCACCATGTATGTGCTTGGTGCCCTCAGCATCAGATCTCTTGGAATTTGAGGTGTACAGATGGCTGCTAGTCACCATGAGGGTTCTGGGAACTGACCCAGGGTCCTTTGCAAAAGGAGCAAGTGCTTTTAACTGCTGAGGTATCTCTCTATCCCTTTATACTTAGCATTATAATACTACTATTATTATTACCTTTTTTTTTTTGGTTTTTCGAGACAGGGTTTCTTTGTGGCTTTGGAGGCTGTCCTGGAACTCGCTTGATAGTCCAGGCTGGTCTCGAACTTACAGAGATTCGCCTGCCTCTGCCTCCCGAGTGCTGGGATTAAATGCGTGCGCCACCAACGCCCGGCTATTATTACTTTTTAAAAAAATTTTTGAGAAAGGGTTTCTTTGTGTTTCCCTGGCTGTACTGGACCTCACTTTATAGACCAGGCTGGCCTCAAATTCATAGAAATCTGCCTGCTTCTGCCTCAAGAGTGTTGGGATTAAAGGTGTGTGTCACCACTGCTGGGCTCTATACTTAGTAATTTTAATTATAAATGTATGTGTGTGTCTGTGAGGGTTTGTGTACATTAGTTCAGTTGCTCATGGATTTTTTTTTTTTTTTGGTTTTTCGAGACAGGGTTTCTCTGTATTGTTTTGGAAGCTGTCCTGGAACTGGCTTTGTAGACCAGGCTGGCCTCGAACTTGCAGAGATCCGCCTGCCTCTGCCTCCTGAGTGCTGGAACTAAAGGCGTGCACCACCAACGCCCGGCTGCCCATGGATTTTTGAAGAGAGAGTTAGATTCCTTGGAGCTGGAGTTATAGTCAGTTGTGAGCTGCCCTACATGGGTGCTGGGAATGGAATTTGAGTCCTATAAGAATGGTCAGTATAAGTGGGGCGGTGGTGGCGCACACCTTTAATCCCAGCACTCGGGAGGCAGAGGCAGGTGGATCTCTGTGAGTTTGAGGCCAGGCTGGACTGACAGCTTCCAAAACAATAGAGAAATCCTGTCTCCTAAAACCAAAAAACCAAAAAAAAAAAAAAAAAAAAAAAGAATGGTCAGTATATGCTCTTAAACCCTGAGCCATCTCTCTAGCCCCACATTTTATTTAAGTATGGGTTGGGATAAGTATGTGTATGCTGCAGCAGTTTTCAGCCATGCTAGTCTTAGGAATTGAACTCAGGTTGTCAGGCTCTGTAGCAAGTGCCTTACTTGCTGAGCCATCCCTTTTGCTTGTCACCTTAGTTTTTTGAGACAAGGTCTCTCACTGAATCTCTGATTGGCTAGTGACCTCCAGGGATCTGCTGGTCCTCTAGCTTCCCTGTTGCTCTGGTGCTCAGAAAAACCTCTTAGACAGAATATACTGACTGGCCAGCAAAATTATTGCAATAGAGCATTTCTGGAACCATTAGTAGTTCAGCTACTATCATACCAAGCCATCCATCCCATTGGAATTACTGTCTTCTTTTATCCCAGACATCATAGATTAGTGGTGTGTTTGTAATCATGTTTGTGTGTTAATGGGTGCTTTCCAGAGATGGATTTCATGTATGTTTCTCAATTGCTTTCCATCTCCCCATCCCTAACCCCCTTTGGGGTGGGAGGGACAAGGTTTCTCTGTGTAATAGCCTGGCTGTCCTGGAACTCTCTCTGTAGACCAGGCTGACCTCAAACTAAGAGATCTGTTTGCCTCTGCCCTACCTCCTAATTTTCCTGATTTCTAGACTGATAGATATGACTAGTATCTTTAAAAAAACAAAACAAAACAAAAAACCCCAAAACTATATTTAGCCGGACAGTATTGGCTCATGTCTTTAATCCCAGCACTTGGGAGGCAGAGGCAGGCTGATCTCTGTGAGTTTGAGACCAACCTGGTCTACAGATCAAGTTCCAGGACAGCCAGGACTTTCACACAGAAACCCTATCTTGAAAAACAAAAAAACCAAACCAAAACAAACAAACAAACAAACCAAAAAATCAACAAAAAATGCCAACCAACCTAACAAAAAAAAACCCTATTTTTTACTTTGTTTATATGTGCTTTGCATTCGTGTATGTCTATGTATCACATGTGCGCCTGTTGTTTAAGGAACCAGAAGAGGGCATGAGATTCCTTGGGGTTGGAGTTACAGATGGTTGTAAGCCATCCTGTGAATGCTGAGAATTGACCCTGGGGTTCTCTGGAAGAGTGGTCATTGTGATTTGTTTGTTTTCACATTTTTATTGGGACAAGGAAAGGGTCCTCTTCTATAGCAGGAGTGGTCAAAGGTTCTTCAGACATTTAGGTCTTTAGTGGCCAGTGTCCTTAACTACTGAGCTATCTCTTTGTCCTCCATACCTCTAGCATCTTTTATATTTGTTTATTTTTTTGAGACAAGGTCTCATTATGTAGCCCTGGTTGGCCTGGAGTCTCCTATGTTGACTAGGATGGCTTCAAACTAAACAGATCTACCCGCCTCTGCTGGGGTTAAAACTGTGCACCATCATGCCCAACCTATTTTGTATGTGTGTATGAGAGAGAATGTGAATGAATGTATGCTACCGTGTCACACGTGTGGAGGATTTTGGGGGTTGAATCTTGCCTTCTACCCTGTTAAGACGGGATCTTTTTTGTTTCTGCTGCTGTGCTTTCAAGCATCCAGGAGATGCTCTGCCTTCCAGCTCCCCATAGCAGTGCTGGAATTACAGATGGGTGCCATTGCCTCTAGCTTTTTTATGGGTTCTGGGGATGGAATTTGGGTTGACAGTCTTGTGCTGCTAGTGCTTTTACCCACTGAGCCACATCCACAGTTATAATTACCTTATAGTTTATTTACAATTACTGTAAGGCTTTTTGTTTTGTTTTAAAAATTAGGGCAAAACCATCTAACTGTATTTAACCACTCAAATCTTCAGTTTTGCAGTCTGATTCATTAAATGAAAATTGCTTGTATTTTGTTCAGCTTTGTTCTCAGCAGGGAGGGTGATTGGTCACAAGGCAGCACGAAAAATCATTCCGCCTTTACATGCTTTAATATTCCATTCTCTCCTGAGTTTAGGAACTGCCCAGGAGTTCAAGAAGCATTTTGAGTTACCAATTTTGAGGAGTCGAGATGCAGCTGCCAGCGAGGCAGACAGACAGCTAGGGGAGGAACGTCTGCGGGAGCTCATCAGTATTGTGAATAGGTAGTAGCCTCCATTCTGGTCTCCAAATGATTTGTGATCTTCTAAGTTTTTTGGGAGATGCCCAGATCTGTGGGCTTGGTCTATCTGCAGCCTTTAAGGCCTGGTGTTTAAGGAAAGGAGTGGGATCTGTGCCATGAGTTGTCACTGAATAAATAACTAAGTCTTACAGAGTAGGTTCCACTCTGGGGAGTCCTGTGGCCTGGTTTTGTTCTTATCAACCTGCTGGTGCAGTTAGCCTTCAAGACATATCCTTGTTAGTACTTCAGAACCTTCTTGACAGTTGTGTTTAGCCTGAATGTACAGACTCTAATTCTGTGGAGAGCTGAAGAATCTTTGTGTGGCTCCCAGCCCAAGAGGGTCTGTTTCTTTCAGTGGGTTTCGTATGAACCAGGGCCAAGCACATTCTGGATTCCTGTCCTTGGTATGTGGCCTTGATAAATTACAGTATGAATTTCCTGCTCCTCCCAACTGCAAGGCTATGTCTTCCTACCAATTTTAGATGGCAGAGTTACTGTGTTCCATGAAGCTGCTGGTTTTCTGTTTGCCTGTTTGTTCTTTCCTTTCTTCGCTTTTTATGAGGTAGCATCTCACATATCCCAGGCCACCTCCCCGATGCTGGGATTCAGGCATGTGCTAGCATGTCTGACTCAGCAGATACTCAGAAGATGCCTCTATTCTTCCTGGTCTGCCTAGAAACTAAGAGCTTAATGACTCTGGGGGTTATATGACAGCTGGTACCTGGGCAAATGCAGATAGAAGCCTCCCAATAAAGACTTACAGTTTAGGGACTGGAGAGTTGGCTTAGTGGGTAAGAACACATTTTGTTCTTGCAGAGAATTTCTAACACCTACATGGTGGCATCCATAATTCCAGTTCCAGGGGATCTGGTGCCCTCTTCTGACCTTTGAGGGTACTAGTGTGAACATGGTGCATAGACATATATATAAGAATACTCATAAAAATTAGAAAAAAAAGTCCTGAAGTTTGTGACCCACTTTTCCTGACAGAGCTGCAGGGTGAATGCAAGATCATAGTTTTCTTTTGAAGATCAGCCAACAAGCTGAAAGTAAGGCAATTTTGAAGGTCTTTGTTCCCATGATTGAGACCCTAAAACAAGTAAACAAATCTCATTTATGGAATGATGAGTCTGTGCTATATGTCATAAAATGATAGGTTTGACATACTACAAAATAGAACAAGTCTTGGTCATTTAGTTAGGAGCTTTTATTCTAGTATATGGCACATTAGTTTCACTAGCTTCTTGCTTTTATTCATTTTCCCTAGGTGCCTGATACGGAGAACATCAGATATCCTCTCTAAATATCTGCCAGTGAAGATTGAGCAGGTGGTTTGTTGTAGGTACTGAAATTAACTGAAAGGCATGCAGTAAGTGGGTAAAAACTTAGCTTCTGAAGCATGGCTGAATCTCAAGATGTTCTTAGGGTGGTAGTATGTCTGGTCCAGCTTTTTCCGTTGAGCTCCTGCCTTTTTATTTTTCAGACTGACACCCCTTCAAACTGAGTTATATAAGAGATTTCTGAGACAGGCTAAGCCTGAAGAAGAATTGTGTGAAGGCAAGATGAGTGTGTCTTCACTGTCCTCTATCACCTCTCTAAAGAAGCTATGTAACCGTGAGTGTGCCCATGCCCAGTGTCTTGACTGTATGAGTGAGCAAGGGAGAGGAAATTCTTGTGGGTAGGCTGGTGACCTTTGTTAGGGACCTCACGGAGACCACAAGTGTACTAACTCTCCGTAAGACATGACCCCTTCCTTGTCGACTCTTCTCTGTGAACTATGTACCTTTACTTTGGAAACTACATTGTCTTCTGCCCAGTCCATCCTTGGTGCTTGAGATGTGCTGTATTGTGTATGTAAATGCTTGTATATATACATCCTCTTGTATTTTAGGCAGGAGGAAAACACAATACCTCTGGTGTTGATTCTTTTTTTTTGGGAGAATACAGAGTAGTGAGTTATACTGTCCATTCAGACTTCCAGATGGTACTGGCTACACCCTATGGGAACTTGGGAGGGTAGACCCCAAAAGTCTAGTTGTGAGGTGTCAGATTGGATCCAAAGGCTGAGTCCAGAAGTTGAAGCTTTAGAAAAGCAAAGTCCCTAGCATTTTGTTATGGTTTTGTTTGATTTGTTTTCAGATCCAGCTCTAATCTATGACAAGTGTGTGACAGGGGAGGATGGCTTTGAGGGTACTTTGGATATCTTCCCACCTGGTTATACCTCTAAAGCTGTAGAACCACAGCTGTCAGGTGAGCCCTCCCTCTCTGTGCTGAGCTATCCTGTCTGAAAGCAGTATATCAAGTGTAACAATCCTGGGTCATTGGGAAGACCAATTGTAATGACTGATAGTAGTCACTCTTCCCAGGTAAGATGCTTGTCCTTGATTACATTCTGGCCATGACTCGGAGCCGCAGCAGTGACAAAGTTGTGCTGGTGTCTAATTATACTCAAACGTTGGATCTCTTTGAAAAGCTGTGCCGAGCTCGAAGGTAGGAAAGAATCTAACCAGGCTAGCAAAGGGATGTGTCTCCCTCACTGGTACTCTAAGATGACGAGATTTTTCTGATTGTTGGATGTTTATCAAGATGGGGCTATATGAATGACTTTCCTGAGAAGTTCTCTTCCCTGATAGCTGTGATAGCATTAGCTCCATCTCTACAAAAGCTTATGTCTTGGTCCTTAAAGTACTCTCACAGATCTTAATTCCTGCCCTTATTTCTCTGTATTTCTCATTGGGAGGCCTCAGACTATGTGTGCATGAGCAGCCTTAATAAGTCTTAATCTAGCCTTATAGGTAGCCATAGCTTCAAGGAATTCATGCTTCTTGGGTCTTGACCTTTGGATATCCCTTCAGGTACTTGTATGTTCGCCTGGATGGCACAATGTCCATTAAGAAGCGAGCCAAGGTTGTGGAGCGCTTCAATAGTTCATCGGTAAGTACACCAATACATAGGGATTAAGTTGATAGAAGCTATAAAGAGCTGTGTGTCATTGTTTTACTTTTGTTTTTGTGTTCTGGTGGGGGTCATAAGAACAAACTGATCAGTGATGACTTAGAATCTGACTTTATGGGTTGGGAAACTGAATGCTAGGCATACCAACTTGTCCTCAGCAAGTATAGAAGAGTGGGAGACATGTTGGCTGAGCTGAGAATGATCCTAGATTAAGTTTCAAGTGTGTGTACCCCATACCCTCTCCTTTGTTTCTTTCCCAGAGTCCTGATTTTGTCTTCATGCTGAGCAGCAAAGCTGGGGGTTGTGGTCTTAATCTCATTGGTGCTAATCGGCTGGTCATGTTTGATCCTGACTGGAACCCAGCCAATGATGAACAAGCTATGGCCCGAGTCTGGCGTGATGGTCAAAAGAAGACCTGCTATATTTACCGACTGCTGTCTGTAAGGATGATGGTGGATCAGTAGGGGTGGGTCATGAAACAGGACCATCTTAAGTATTTCTTAGTGTCTCTTTTTAGCCCTTCTGCCTCTGGCCACAGTGTGTACTTAACTGAGTCCTTTATTCTGTTCTCCCTCATCCCTCCTCTTTGCTTTCCACCTACTTCCTCCAGATGCTTCTTGTTGTCCCCTTCAGATGCTTGCTCAATTCATAGGGCACTATTTTCTAAATCTTCTAGTGTTCCATGTCCCAAAGGGCCAAGAAGTGGTAAATAACTACAAATCATGCAGACTATTCTAGCTTATTGATGACTTTGGACACAAGCTGCCTTCATTTTTTTCCCTCAATCTAGTAGCTATCCAGTGAGTACCATGCAGCTTTCATGCTTGACTTTATTGCTAATGGTCTCAGTTCTTCATCTAATTCTTCCTTTTTTAAAAAAAAGATTTTATTATGTTATGTATATGAGTGCTCTATTTGCATGTACTCCTTATGTATTCCTTTATCCACTGTAGATAGTTGTGAGCCACCATGTGGGTACTGGGAATTGAGCTCAGGACCTCTGGAAGAGCAGCCAGTGCTTTTAACCACTGAGCCATCCCACTATCCTCATCTAATTATTCTTAAGGCTGTAGTATGTTAAGAGATCCTTTCTTTTTAGGTTTTTTTTTTTTTAAGGTTTATTTATTATGTGTACAGTGTTCTATTTACATGCCTACACTGCAGGCCAGAAAGAAGGCACTAAATCTCATTACAGATGCTTATGAGCCACCATGTGGTTGCTGGGACTTGAACTCAGGACCTCTGGAAGAGCAGCCACTGCTTTTACCCACTGAGCCATCTCTCCAGCCATTGTGTGTGTGGTGGGGGGAGTGGGGTTTCTACTGTGCTAGAACTTGCTCTGTAGACCAGGTTGGCCTGGAACTCAAGAGATCCACTTGCTTCTGCCTCTCAAATGCTGGGATTAAAGACGTGTACCACCACCATCCAGTTTTTTTTTTTTAATACTCTCATATGTTACCGTTCCTAGAATCAGAACCTTTCTAAGAAATCTTCCTGCCTCAGCCTTCTGAACAACTGAACCTGTGTTTTTCTAACCCCTTTATTCCCAGCTTTCATGTCACTCTTGGCTTGTAAACCATTTTTTTTTTTTGAGTTAGCTAAAAAAAATCTACTTTCAATATTTTCTGAACTACTGGGACCCTGAGTATCATGCACAGACTTCTGTCATTGTACAAATTTGTTTGTAAGGGCGTTGGTGGCACACGCCTTTAATCCCAGCACTCTGGAGGCAGAGGCAGACACATCTCTGTGAGTTCGAGGCTAGCCTGGTCTACAAATCGAGTTCCAGGACAGCCTCCAAAACAATACAGAGAAACCCTGTCCCGGAAAAACCAAAAAAACAAACAAAAAAAAACCCATAATGTCAGTAAACAAATTTGTTTGTATGTCTGTCTTTTGAAGTGTTCAGTGATTTAAAGGATAGGAATAATATTTCATTCCTCCTTGCATCCTATTGCTAGTATATAACCTGAAAAATGAGTCAGATGATATTGAATAAATGAGAGTTGGGCCTGGTGTGGAGGGAACTTTGCTACAGATAACCTGTTTTTACCCTAAATGGATTTAGCCCCATCCCTGACACCCTCCACTAGTGCAGAAAATAGCCTGGATGGGCAAAGCAGCAGAATTTCTTGACTCTAGAAGAACTACAAAAATGAATCTCAGCCAAGACAGATATTAGCTCAGGGCTTATACTTTACACTGATTACCCTTTTTCAAGATGGCTTTAACCCCTGGGTTTTTCTACTCCCTCAATATCTACAGGGATAGACTAAATAAGCCTTATATCTCATCCCGTTTCTAGACTGGAACCATAGAGGAGAAGATCTTTCAGCGGCAGAGCCATAAGAAGGCACTGAGCAGCTGTGTGGTTGATGAGGAGCAGGATGTGGAGAGACACTTCTCTCTTGGTGAGCTCAAAGAGCTGTTTACCCTGGACGAAGGCAGCCTCAGTGACACACATGACAGGTAGGTAGAGTGCCTGTTATTATCCTGAGCTACCTGAGCAGCACAGAAATAAGATCTGTAGTGACCCTAACTCTGTCCTCTGACCTCAGGCTGCATTGCCGCCGTTGTGTAAACAGACGCCAGGTCTGGCCACCCCCTGACGGTTCTGACTGCACTTCAGATTTGGCTCAGTGGAACCACAGCACAGATAAACGGGGACTCCAAGATGAGGTACTCCAGGCTGCCTGGGATGCTTCATCTACAGCCATCACCTTCGTCTTCCATCATCGTTCTCATGAGGAGCAGCGGGGTCTCCACTGATAACCAGCTGGTCTGGATGCGGTGGTTAGAGGAGAAGGATACAGGGAAAGTGGGTTCTCTGCCTCATGAAGCTCTGCTCAGTTTTGTTCTCTAGGAGAAAATCATCAAGAAGGGCTGCATGATGTTTGCCCAAAATTTATTTTATAAGAAAAACTTTTTTGGTTTAAAAAAAAAAGAAGAAAGGAATAAAGGCATGAAAGGGACTGAGGCCTGGGAACAGATTGGTAAGCCCAGGAGGGAAGAGGCCTGGTGCTGGACATTCTTATGCTTCTCAAAGCCTGGGTGCCTGCTTGAAGGAGGAGGCAGGTAACCCCAGGGCAGGGGCAGGAGGCTTTCCGCAGTGAAGACAATGATCTATAACCTCCTAGCCTGGGGCTCCCAGGGTACTGAGTAAGTGGCCCAAAGGCTCTAAACTCAGCTGTGGGAATGCCCTTGCTGGGCCTCCAGGACCTCAGTGCAAGGGAAGATGGGGGGGTGGGGAAAGAAACCAAAAAAAAAAAAAAAAACAAAAAACAAAACAAACAAAACCCCAGACAAAGTGGCAGAAGGAGAATGACAGAATCAGTGGTTGGGGATTCTGGGCAGCCCATGCCTCAGCCCCTGCAGGCTGATGGTGCTGAGGATGGGACTGTGAGGTATGGGCCCCATCACATGGTGCTGACATAATCTGCAAAGGCCTGGGATGAGTCCCATGAATCGCTAACCACATGGCAGGTAGCCCGGAGCCGCCGGATTGCTTCCCTTGCTGTGACTGCATCCTGGTCCAGCCAGTTCTGGAAGAGGCGTAGGTGACCAAAGGCTCCACGGCCCCAGCGCTCCAGTCGCTTGGCAAATTCCAGAAGCCCATCTGGCTTGATGCAGTTGGAGCTGGTAGGAATGAGATGTATTAGCTATCTGGGAAGCAATTAGGCTTTGTCTATATCCCTTTCTCCCATCCCTTCTCTCCCCAGTCCCTAGCATACCTGATATCCAGCTGACAGAGGGAAGAGGAAGAATCCTCTGAGAAAACATCTGCCAGGGCCAACAGGCCAGCGTTCCCTGGAGAGAGGGACAGGGAGGGATACTCATTACCTAGACCCAAGAGCAGGGAAACAAGGGTATCTATCCTATCTTAGCTCCATCTTGAGAAAACCCTAGTTCTAGCAGTTCTGAAGACCTAGTACTCAAATACCTGTATTGCAATTACAGCCTTCTTAGTGGAGTAGTCAATACTGTTACCCCAAAAGTTTATAGGTCAAAGACCTGGTTCCTTCCTCCCTCTCTGGGGTCTGGTCCCTACCCAGACGGTTCCCTGGTAGTCGAAGGCCCTTCAGTGTAGAGTTGCCCTTCATGGCAGCAACCATCTCAGGAAGAAATTGGGCTGGGCGCTTCTCAAACAGACGGCAGAAGGAAAAGGTAATCTCTGTCAAGAGAAAGTTTGGGTAAGAAGTAAGGCTGGTACTGTCCCTCTTGCCCCAGGTGGTCGTAGCAAGGTGTGTGAACATTTTATACGGTCCTGAAAAGAATAATCTGCAAAGTCCCAAGCTATGTTGGAACTCAATTCAAGTAAGATACTGAACCTAAATGTTTGCTGCATGGACTTTTTTTAAAATTCAGTTCCTCCTTTCTGTAGCCACTGATCCCTTTGCAGTGGTGGTGATTAGTTAGAAGTGAATACCTGAAGGGGACATGCCACAGTATCACATTTCTCCCCACTATATTTTTGTTGTTGTTTTGTTGAGACAGAGTTTCTCTGTGTAACAGCTCTGGCTGTCCTGGAACTCACTTTGTAGATCAGGCTGACTTCAAACCTACAAGAGATCCTGCCCCTGCCTCCCGAGTACTGGGATTAAAGGCGTTCACAAGCACTGACTCACCCTTTCCCCATTATCTCACTTTTTTTTTTTTTAATTTGAACCCACTCAGGGTGCTACCACCATTTCTGCTGGCTCTTTACAAAACAAAACACAGTAACATACTAAAAATTGGGTAAATGTGCGCATTTGAAGAGGAATTGAATTTGGGACATTAGAAGGAATGTCCTAAGGTGCCATATCCTTGTAGTCAAGGGAGACATAAGACTAGGGAAAGAATAGTAGTTTGCACATTGAGATAGTGTCAGAGTTAGGACACAGGAATGCTCAGGCTCTAGATTAGGATCTTACCTTGAAGGGTCAGATTCTGTAGCAAAAAGAGCACCTCACTCTGGCAATCTGCAAGATTCATGTCGTGGAAGCTCAGCCTTTTCAGAGATTGGTTATATTCTGGGTGGGAGGAAGAAGCCATGGACAATAGGGTTTAGTTTTCCCAGGGAATAATGGTAGGTTCCCTACTTACCCTCCTTTACCATTCCTACCTTTGAGTGTTTGCAACACAAGCCCAAAATCCTGGGGAGAGGCAAAAGTGGCACTGTCCAGCGACAGCTGCTGTAGAGAACCTGAGGCCTTCAAAACAGAGCAGAGCAGTGGGGCTGGCTGAGCTCCTCGTGGAAATCCCATTTCCAGTTGCTCTAGGCAGTTTTCTGCATATGATAGGAAGAGGAAATTCCAATTAGCTGTCTGTATTTAAGAATACATATGTAGGTGGGTGGTAGTGGTGACACATGCCTTTATTCCAGTACTTGGGAGGCAGAGGCAGGAGGATCTCTGAGTTCAAGGCCAGGTCTATAAAGCAAATTTCAGGACAACCAGGGCTACACAAAGAAACTATCTCAAACAAAACAAAAATAACATATGTGTTTTATTTGTGTACTACTACTTGGGGGTCAGAAAAAAAACCGTGGCAGGAGTTAATTCTACGACGAGGGTTTCAGGTCTGATGGCAAGTGCTTTTCCATGTTGAGTCATCTCACTGACCCACTATTTTTTTTTTTTTTTTTTTTTTTTGGTTTTTCGAGGCAAGGTTTCTCTGTATTGTTTTGGAGGCTGTCCTGGAATTCGCTCTGTAGACCAGGCTGGCCTCGAACTCAGAGATGTGTCTGCCTCTGCCTCCTGAGTGCTGGGATTAAAGGCGTGTGCCACCAATGCCTGGCCTGGCCCACTATTTACATGTAGCAGACTCATTAGGGAAATGGTTTATTATCTACACGTCCTGCTTCTACTGTGTGTTAGGCTTTATGATAAGTTCTAGAAATGAACCATTAAATATGAAATCCTGTCTTTGCACTCAAGCAAATAAAAGTATAATGGCTCAGGGGCTAAGTGTTTTCTGTGTAAGTGTGAAAACCTGAGTTTGGATCCACAGAAACTATATAAATGGCAGGTCTGGCAGGGCAGTGGTAGCGTACACCTTTAATCCCAGCACTCAGGGCAGGGGCAAGCAGATTTCTTGAGTTTGAGGCCAGCCTGGTCTACAAAGGTACACAGAGAAACCTGTCTTGGTGAGGAAGCAAGGAAAAACAGGACAATAACAGCAGGGTTAAGTGAACAGGCTATAGTTGGAAGTTCCCTTCCTCTCCCCAGCCAAACACAACTGTACATATCACTGTGTGTGTGCATGCACACCACTTTACCTGGTATTTCCTCATCCCCAATTATGTGGCTAGGGGGCCCAGCATTCTCTGGTACAGCAGGGTTATCCCTCTGGCTTGGGTGGTCAACACGAATAGACAGGACCCGCAGCAGGGGGAGGGCTCGAACAATGGCACGAGTCAACTCCAGGATGGGCAGTGGTGAGAACAGGTCACTGAGATGCAGGGCACGAAGGCGGCATCCAGCCTGGCCTGACAGGGCCCGCAGGCTGTCCAGTAGGCGGAAGATATTAGAGCCCAGGCCTATGGCAAAAGAGATTAAATTACAGGTGAGGTAAATTTAAGCAGAAGTAATATTCAGTGAATGCTCTATTTCTATCGATTACTACCAAGTCTTGAGCTTTGGATCTGATTATCAGATTTTGTTTTATGATAAGGCTTTAGACCTTACATTTCCTATTTCTCCAGGACTGGGGCCATGGGTGTGTACCACCATGCCTGGCTGTGGATCATATATTTTTGACATTTGTATCAATTACTTATCCATTTTCTCCTTTTCCTTGGGTAGCTAGCAAATTGTGACCTGCGGTAGGGGCTTTGTACTCTAGTCATCAGGAAATCTCAAAATAAGATAGGTGTGGTTGTGCTAGTAGTTGGGCACTGATTTTAAGTAATTTCCCAAAGATAAATGGCCTTGAAGAGGGAATTTTGGATAATTGGGTCCTATCTCAGATATCAACTCATGAGTAGGAAGGGTCTCAGGACCCAACTTATGTACTGGGGCCAGCATTGTGGGAAGTCTTGAAAGCTAAACTGTGGAGAGCTTGATGTCATAGGTCATGGATGCACTTGTGAAACAAGTAATGATGGTCCAAACAAGTATATTGTAGGTGGGAATGGAAAAAAAAAGTAGAATGGATGCATATTAGGTCAGCAGGAGAGCATGTGCCTAATGTGCATGAATCCTTGGGTTTGACATACTAGAAAAAACAAAAACAAAACAGCAAACCATTTCCCACAGGATTAATGGGAAGAGTCTAAAAAACCATGGCAGCTTAATAATTTTAGATAACTCCTGAGATACAAGTTCTTTTCCTTGTATTTTAAACTGCTGTTAATTTATTCATCCAACTATTTTTTTTTTTTTTTGGTTTTTCGAGACAGGGTTTCTCTGTGGCTTTTGGAGGCTGTCCTGGAACTCGCTTGGTAGTCCAGGCTGGTCTCGAACTCACAGAGATCCTCCTGCCTCTGCCTCCCAAGTGCTGGGATTAAAGGCATGTGCCACCAACGCCCGACCATCCAACTATTTTTTAACCCTGAGACAGGGTTTCTTTGTGTAACCCTGGCTATCCTGGAACTAGCTATGTAACCCAAGCTGGCCTCAAACTCAGAGATGTACTTGCCTCTGCCTCCCCAAGTGCTGGGATTAAAGGCATGCTCTACCACCATCAGGCTCATCTAACTAAATTTAAACTAGCACTTTTTCTCTCCCCTACACACAAGGAGCACATAGCGTTCTTGCCCATATATTCCTGATAAAAATTTAACAGGAATCAAGGAAGCAAGAGTACAATTAGATACATAAAAGGATGCATACTGAACCTTCTGGCTTCCCAATTCAGATTTTGTTTTTCAAGACAGGGTTTCTGTGTAGCCCTGGCTGTCCACTTAGAGATCTGCATGCCTCTGCCTCCTGGGTGTTGGGATTAAAACTGTGTACCACCATGGCCTGGCTCCCCATTCAGTTTTAAAGAATATAAAGGAAATAGGGAGAAGAAAATGTGAAAATAAATATTCAGTGGCCTGAAGACTGAGTAACAGGATCTAAACTGAAATACATGGTGTATAAAGCATGAAGGGGCAAGCAGGAGTAAACATGAATAAAATTCTATAAAATTAGAATTAGGAGGTATTGTGGTACATGCCTGTAATCCCATATGGGAGACTGAGGCAGGAGGATTGTGAGTTTAAGGACAGTCTAGGCTATGTAGGAAGGCTGTGTGTGTCTCATGTTTTTACAAACTAAGTATGTTGACAATGCTGCCTTTAAACTCCAGATCTTCTTGCCTCCACTTTCTGAGTACCACCATGCTTAACCTGTAGAAGGCTTTGAAGGAACAAAAGGGTCAAACTACATGTTTAAAATCGAGGACTACATCTTGAGAAGAGAAGAAAGTGGAATGGTGATGGAAGCCTGACTTAATGTTTGGGATTTAGAAGAATTTGAAGTTATCTGGCTTGAATACTGGCTCTACAGCTTGCTAAGCAAGGTTATGCTGGGGAAGTCAATTGTTATAGGTTGATGTTAGAAATTAGATTAGGTAGCATTTTGAGAATATTTAATGTCAGATATAGCCCAAGTATATGAATACTAAAATATCTGAGAAACAAGCCTCCATAAAAAAGGAAGTAAGGATTTAGAGTATTGGGAATTAATTAGCTTCTGATAAGGCTGCACCTTTCATTGAGGTGAAAAAAAAGGATGAACTCAGAAGTAGGCTACTTGAAGGAATTCATGTATGACATATTTTCTTTGTGAGGTCATTTACTAAGTAAGGGAGAGTTTGGAAATTGCAGACTAGAATGGGAGTTGATTTTGCAGATATAATGAAGGGTATTAGAAGGCTGATGGTACATCTGTGTGTTTTCTTAGTAGTGCTTAGCAATTTAGGTAGTTTTGGTCAGATTGTACATTTTGCTGACAGTGAAAGTGGACAAGGACAGAAGACTATCTTGTAGGTTGCTGTTCTGTCTTCCGGCCCTTAAAACCTGGGTAGTTGCTTTGATGTGACTGGTATGATACAAATCCAGTACCCTGGCTAGGTCTGGATTGCCCCCTGTATCTAGCTAATGTATCAACTCCCCTAGAAGCCTTTGTTCTAATAGTAAATCCGTATTATGAGGCTTTACTTTTCTCTCCTAACATCAACAGTATGCCAATGTGTTTTGTGTTTGCCTCTTGCCTCTGTAAACACAAAAGACTACATCTCCACCTCCCTGAACATACTTCCCACCCCGGATTAGGCACAGTGCTGTTGAGAGATCCAAAGGCAGACCTGTTCCTTCAGGTGCTCACCATTGTATGAAAGTGTAAGGCTCTCCAATGATACCCAGGAGCTCAGCAGGTGGCACAGTGTCACAGCTGCCTCTGTGGAGAGGGGAACTGTGAACAGCTCCAAGGTGGAAATGCTGCGGAATCGCTGGGATGCCTCCAGTGCTGGGAGCCCCAAACAGCTGGGATCTGATCCATCCAGAGCTCCACAAGCTACTTCCCCAATCTCCATTTCTTCACCATCCTCTTTCTCACCAGCCACAATAAAAACAAAGTCATACAGGTCTTCAGACTCTGCACCAGACCCCTGACGGGTGCGGGCACCCTTCTTCCCTGCTGCTCGCTTGAAACGCTTTAAGGGCTTAGGCTGTGAGGCTGAGCTAGCTGGAGCCCGTTTGGATGATGTGGAAGAGGAGGCAGAGGTGGTGGCAGCTGGAGCAGAGGATGGCTGCTTGGTGCCAGAAGCCTCATAAGAGGTGGCTGGAGGGTACAGCTCCCTCTTAGAGTCTGTCCCACTTACTGCCAGGCTTTCTTGTGTGCTGCGGCGTGTTACACGGGTGGTTGGTACAGCCCTGGGCATCTGCTTGACTTCACTCTTCCTCCGGGTGGCCATTAGTGCTGCAGCACATCGCTCTGCTGCATCCCGCCGAGGCCGGCGTGAGCCTAGCAATAAGGACCCTTCATCTCTGGATGGGGCCCGACCTCGGGAGGCTTCACCACAAAGGCGGCAAGGCAAGCTACCAGAGCCTGGCTGCCAAAAACCAGCACTCATAGTGAGGATAAGAATGAAAAGGGCTGACTCAGGCACAGGCCAGGAGTACAGCGACACTTGGCTAACAGCTCCATGGTGAATGAGCTGATGCAACAGCTGTCGCAGTGACTGCTGAGCAGCCACATCAGAGAACAGCAGATGGCGGAACTTGAGGGTATGCAGAGAACTTGCCAGGGTCTCTAGGACCCTGCGGTTTGGCTCAGCCACTAGCTCAGTTGCTCCTTGCAGCATATTGCAGATGGTGAGCTGTCGAACATGACGGGAGCTGTGCAGGAGAGGTGAGAAGCGTTGATCACAAAGACGCTTATCAGAAGACACATCAATGGTTCCACGTAGAACATGGGAAAAAAAGGCCTCCATAAACTTGGCTCGCCAACAAGTCACACTCTAAAAGCAAAGAAAACACCAGACATTTGTCAAGTGCCCTCTTAGTTTCCTTCTAGTAGCAAACATTTCTGAGTACAGCATCAATCTAGTTAATTACACAAATTCATACTGGTAGCCCCATTATACAAGGGGGCTAGAGACACAAAACAGATAAGGAACATATTGTAGTGTCCCTTGTCTGACAAATGGTAACTTTTGTGCATGTCTGTATATACAGGTACAGAGAGGCCAGAAGTTGTACTTCAGCATTGCTGCTCTTATTGGGTTGAAACTTGACAAGTAGGTTAGACTGCCAAGGCATCAAACTCAAGGGTTCTGTTTCTTCCCCAGCACTGGGATTAAAAGTGTGCACACACCAATGGAGCTGGTGTGGTGGTGAATGCCTTTAATTCCAGCATATAAGAGGTAGAAGCAGGTCTATATAACTACATGATATGTGGAGAAACTGCTCAAAAAAAAAAAAAGTTATGGCTGGGCAGTGGTGGCGTATGCCTTTAATCCAAGCACTCCGGAGGCAGCTGGATCTCTGAGTTCAAGGCCAACCTGGTCTTGATGTGGTTGCTGGGAACTGAACTCAGGACCTCTGGAAGACCATGCAGTGCTCTTGACCTCTGAGCCATCTCTCCAGCCTTTGTTTTGTTTTTTTGAGACAGGGTTTCTCTGTAGCTTTGGAGACTGTCCTGGAACTCACTCTTGTAGACCAGGCTATCCTCGAACTCACAGAGATCCATCCACCTGTCTCTGCTTCCCAGTGCTGGGATTAAAGGTGTAAGCCACCCACACCTGGCTCCCACCCAAGCCTTTCTTAACATGTCCTTTGAAACATCTATCAGGAATGTTCTCCACTGGTAACTCGATTTTCCAAAAGATCTACTCACATCCCCTGAGGCTGCAGCTTGGTAGGGATGCACCAACTATCAAGCCTTAAGATGCTGGCATACCCCATGATGTTTAGTTTCTGCCTGTTCGCTTGTCAACAAGATCAGAAATCTCTGGGTATAGGAATCCCTTCTTAGGTTTATTTTCTCCAAGGCAGGTTATTTGATGCAAGTGGAACTTCATCAGGCTATTTTGATATACTAAAAATTGAAGGGAACAGATTTTCAGTATTTGGTGTATATCAGAATTTCTTATAGAGTTGTTTTCTTCCCCCACTATCCCAAAATGCATGTCAGCTTCCCAGATGTCTACATGTGACATCTGAGATAAGGTTCAGACCTTTTATTTTAAAAACTGTTCCCCCTAATATGGTATGTACTCACTCCTTGAGATGGCCGAGTTGGGGGAGGGATACAGAGGGGGAGCAATGAAAGAGATCTTGATGGAGGGAGCCATTATGGAGTTAGGGAGAAATCAGATACTAAGGAAATTCCCAGAAATCCACAAGGATGACCCCAGTTAAGACACCAAGCAATAGTAGAGAGGGTGCCTGAATTAGCCTTTCCCTTTAATCAGATTAGTGACTACCCTAATTGTCATCATAGAACCTACATTCAGTAACTGATGGAAGCAGATGCAGTGATCCACAGCCAAGCACTGGGCTGAGCTCCTGGAGTTCAGCTGAAGAGAACGAGGATATGAATAAGCGGAGGGGGGGGAGATCAAGACCATGATGGGGAAACCCACAGGGACAGTTGATCCAAGCAAGTGGGAGCTCATGAACTATGGGCTGAATGCTGGGGAACCTGCATGGGACTGAACTAGACCTTCTGAATGTGGGTGACAGTTATGTGTCTGTTGGGTGGTGGTGGTCCTGGCAGTGGGACCAGGACTTATCGTGGCTACATAAATGGGCTTTTGTGGAGCACATTCCCTATGGTGGGATACCTTGTTCAGCTTTGATACAGGGGGGAGGGGCTTGGTCCTTCCTTAACTCGGTATACCAGACTTTGTTGAGTCCCCTCAGAGGAGCGGATGGGGGGCAGGGTAGGATGGGGATGTAAGGAGCCCAGAGAAGGAGATGGAGGGGAACTGGGGCTAGTATATAAAATGAAAAAAAATTTAAATGTTTTAACATAAAAAAAAAAACTGTTCCCCAAATGATTCTAATGTTCACCAGAGGTAGGGAAGGGCTATGTTACTCTGAAAGACACCAACCCTCAGAGTTTGCTTGTTTCTTTTTAATTAGAAGTTTTAGAGTTGGGAAGGGGAGGATCGTGTGCTATGTGTGTAGGTAGGTCAGAGGACAACTTTAGTGGAATCACTTTCAACTTTATGTAGGTTCTGGAGCTCTGCAAGCCCTGGAAAGCTTCTGTTTTGTAGATAGGATCTCATGACCTTGTACTGTCTCTGTCTCCCATGTCTGGAATTCTAGGTATGTGCCACCACGCCTAGCTCAAGGCCTTACAATCCTTTCATAAGGTGTATTAATTAGTCTCCTGGATTCAGTGCAGGGGCTAATTCTCATTGGTACACCTGTTTTTTTGGTGAAGATGTTACATGAATCAAATAAGATGAAGTAAAGATACTTTAAAAGACAAAGCGTTACTGCCACAGCAGCTGATTATTAGTCAGGATGGATACTATAACAAAATGCTTCTCTCTGATCCTTAACAAACCCATCCCAATCTTCCCTACCAGAGAAACAATCAAATCAGGAGGTAGGTCCCTAGTATCCTCAGGTGAAAGTCTGGTCTTTTTGTCCTAGTTTTTGCCTGTAATGGTAGTATTCAGGAATGATTTCATGCTTGAGTCAACCTACATGCCTTGCTCATCTGCAGGACACTGGGGAAGCAGGAAAACTTAGCTGGTAACCAAACCTTTCTTCCCCTTCTTTGGAATGCTAAGCATTGGACCCAAGGCCTTGTGCATATTAGACAACACTATTTTGTTTTGTTTGTTTTTTCAAGACAGGCCTCAAACTCACAGAGATCCACCTGCCTCTGCCTCCCAAGTGCTGGGTTTAAAGTCTGCATCACCACCACCACTCAGCTTAGAGGACATATTTCTAACTTATATGTGTATGGGTATTTTGCTTGTGTGTATATCTGTAACCTTGCACTTACCTGTTTTTAAGAGTCAGGAAGAGCCACCATATGGATGCTAGGAGTTGAATTTTGTCCTCTGAAATATCAGCAAGTGCCCTTGGACAACACTTTAACATTGACCATTCCTCGACCCTATGCTTAGTTTTGAATGGTAGCAAAGGATGTTCTTGAGTCCTTCAGGGTCTCACTAGCACTTTCCCTACACATTAGTTGGCCTACACGCAGCCTTTTGTTTTCAGGACAAGATCTTGCTATATATGTATAGCTCAAGCTTACCTCAATTCTGCCTCAGCATCCTGGGATTATCGGCATGTACCAAGAGATAGATTAACATGCACAATCCTGGAAACTGTTTGTGAAGCTGGGCATGGAGGAATATGGCTTTCATCCCAGACAAGGGAGGCAGAGACAGGCAAATCTCTTGGGTTTCAGGCTAGCCAGAGCTATATAATGAGACCTTGTCTCAAAAGAATAATTTGCAAGTAACTTCAATATGCCTTCAACTTTACAGGTAAATTATAAGGCTATGAAAAATCTATGCAAGATTGAGACATAAGCTATTGTGGCAGTTTCTGCATGAGAGGGCTAAGAAACGTGTAGGTATGATAACTAAAGGCTGGACTTTTTCTGACTTGTTAATGAAAGTTAATACCTCAAGTGGGATGATTATATTAGCAGCATAAGACAACTAGTAGAAGCAGTACTTCACAGTCAAATTGCTTCAAGCTAGGTCTATCATTTACTAACTATAACTTTTGGAAAGGTCTCATTCTACTTATTTCATCATCTATAAGAGCTATACCGAGTCATTATGAAGGTTAAATATATAAAGTTATAATGGTTATCTCAGTAATTTCTCATGAGTTCTTACACAAGGAAAATTTATTTTATTCCATTGCTACCCTTTAGAATATGTGCAAGAAAATCAATGCTGAAAAATACTTGAGGAATCTAGTCCAAGTAACTCCTTTTCTAGACTACAGCACAACAATATAAACGGAATGAAACACCTTTTTTTGTTGTTGTTTGAGACAGAGTTTCTCTATAGCTTTGGATCCTGTACTAGAACTCCCTTTGTATACCAAACTGGCCTCAAACTCAAGAGATCTAACTCCCTCCCTCCTGAGTGCTGGTATTAACAGGCATGCACCACTATTGCCTGGTAAACACCCTCTTGCATGATAGTGGAAATGACACACTGATAATAAGATTACATGGTGGCGCACACCTTTAATCCCAGCACTGGGGAGGCAGAGGCAGGAGGATCTCTGTGAGTTTGAGACCAGCCTGGTCTACAAAGCTAGCTCCAGAACAGCCTCCAAAGTCATAGAGAAACCCTGCCTCTGCCTCCCAAATGCTGGGATTAAAGGTGTATGCCACCACCACTTGGCTCACTGAAGTTTTTTGAAGTCAGGATCTCAGTCTCACAGGGAAGGTTGGCCTTGAAACATACATAGCTAAGTATAATCTTGAATTCCTTTGATAGTTCTACTGCTGGAATTACAGTTCTATTCACGACCACGTATGGCTTTATACAGTGCTGTAGACTGAACCCAGGACTCTGAATATGCTAGACAAGTACTCTAGCAACTAAACTGTATTTCCATTCCCTACTGGTACTTGCTTTATTTCTGTAATGTGTTCAACTCTGTGCTCATTTTATTAGGATGTTTATAATTTTTTTATTCTCTGTATCTTAAATTTTTATTTGTGTGTGTCTGCCCATCCATGGAGGCCAGAAGAGGGCATCAGATCATCTAGAACTTAAGTTACAGGTAAACAACCAGGCATGACAGCTTAATGCTGAACCATCTTTCCAGCTCTTTATTTTTTTGTTTTGCAAATAGTGTTTCAAATGTTGCCTTTCAGTTGATTATTTAAAATTCATTTATGGAGGCTGCAAAGATAATAACTAAAAACAAAAATCTTGGGGCTAGAGAGATGGCTCAGTGGGGTAAGAACACTGGCTGCTCGTCCAGAGGACCTGGGTTCAATTCCCTGCATTCATGGCATCTCACCACTGTCTGCAACTCTAATTCTAAGAGATGGGAATCCGAAGTCCTCTTCTGGCTTCTACAGGTACTGGCACACACATACAGGCACATACTCAGATAAAAATAAATCTTAAAAAACAACAGCTTTAAAATATGTTTATGGTACTGCCATTTTATGTGATTAAGCAAATCTCTCTCCCTATCTGCATTATAGAGTCTTAAACTTGATAGACAAATATTCACTGATCTATACACCCATGCCCCTATTTCCTGTTTTGGTTTTACCGATTTAATAAATGACATTCTATTCTGAGACCACACATCAAACTACTTACTTGTTATTAGGTGTTTTGTCCTTTTGCTCTTTAAAAATTTCATCTTTAATTTACACAGATATTATCTAAACATAATGTAATGGAAACATGCCCTAATTTTTCCAGATGACTAAGCAGCTGATCCTTCATTTCCCTACTACTTTGTTTTCAAAATATCTACTGCATCATACAGATCTCTATATACAACAACACTACATAGTTTTAAGTACTCCTGTTTCATGAGCAGTGTCCTCTGGAACTATCATAGTGCCTAGTACCAAGCAGGAGTCAAGAAATGTTTTCTTTAGTGGTGGTGGGTTTATATTTGTTTGTTTTGTAGTTTTTTGGCAGTGGTGGAGATTAAAACTGGATCTTATTCAGGCTAGGCAAATACTCTTACCACTGAGATACACTTCCAAATTCTCACCAGATATTTTTATAGGTAAGATTAAGACTATTTTTGTGCTAAAGAATGAGTCATAAAAAAAATCTGGATTAGGTATGTAATGAATCAGAACTTCTGTCTAAGTAATTTAGATCATCCGGTCTAAGCTTCCCTATCTTCTGAAATGATTAGGGCCAATAAAACAAATGAAACAATAAGTCTTTAAAAGCTTGAGATGTTGGATAGTTTATACCACTTGCTGGTCAGCCATACTGCAAATGAAATACTGAAAGTATTTCTATTTCTGTTGAAGAGATCCAGTGATTTCTGAGTCAGTGAATAGAATTTTAGGACACAAGGATTCTGTCCAACCCTTCTGAGTTCCCTGTATGCCCTTAACATCCTTATATCAAGTTGTTATGCAGACTATTTGAATACTTAGTAACAAAATGTTTATTACTTCTGAAATTAGCTTGCTTTATTACTAATAATCTTAAAGTTTCACTTTTAGATTAGCAAAAATGTACTTTCTTTTAGATTCAAGTCTATTAATCTGTAGCTCCTGTTTCTTAAATTGTCTCTTTTTCAGAAATAACATCCCATTTTCAAAGGCGACTCAAATAATGTGGCTTTGACTTTTTTCTCCATATCCCAGGGAGAAAGATAGCCTGACTACTGCAGAACCAGGCAAGGTATCTTCTCTCTTGTCCTATACACTCATAAAACAGGGCACACAATAAATACCTTCAATCATTGACTAGCCCTCAGTCCTTTTTATTTTGCCTACATGTATATCTATGTACCATGTGCATGCCTGGTGCTCAATGAGGCCAGAAGAGGGTGCTGGATCTCCTTGAACTGAAGTTACAGATAGTTGTGAGGTGCCAGGTAGGTGATGAGAACTGAACCTGGGTTTTTGCAAAAATGGTCAATGCTCTTGACTGTTGGGCCATCTCTCCATCTGCCCCCATTTAATACTTTTTATACAGCTTCTCCTAAGCCAGAACTTCTGTAGTTACCAAAGATGAGTTGGTTCCTTCTGTTATTATTCTTTTTTTTTTAATTTGCTAGTTTTGACCACTGCACCAACTCAGTCAAAAACTCAAGGACTCTTGGGTCTGCATTCCATTGTGATCATACTCTTTACTGTATACCCTGTAATCATGGTAAACACGTCAATGCTAAATGCCAAGTGACCCAAAATTGTGACAACTCACCTGTGCTCAACTCCCAAATCCAATCTCTGTATTTCAATAGCTCCCAGTTTGTGTCAGTATGCTATACTTTCTTTTACTATTCAAGATTAGTCTAGAGTTCATCCTGGCACCTTAACTTACCTCCAAACTGGAAGGCCTTGTTTTCATCAGCTCATCCCAGAGTCGGCGCCAGATGGCCTGAGTGGAGAGACCTATAGGAAGAACTGTATCAGTTGGCTGCCTGCTGCCCACCATGAATGAATACATCAGTCTTTCATATTGTCTGTCCTCTGGCTTCAGAGGAGCAATACAGCTAGATGAATAGTTAAGAAAACTGACTCTAAGGACAGATCACCTAGATTTGAATATTAATAAACTACTCTAAAGCTATGTGATCATGGGTAAGCTACTTAATTTTTTCCCCTCATCTGTAAAATGTAATTCATATCTATTTCATAGGACTGTTGAAAAGGGATTAAGTGAGTAGATGAATTTCTCTGGATAAAGTACCTAGGACTGCTTGGCCCATCAAGATTACACACTGGCTGGGTGTTGGTGGAGTACGCCTTTAATCCCAGCACTCGGATCTCTGTGAGTTCGAGGCCAGCTTGGTCTACAGAGCAAGTTCCAGGACAGCCTCCAAAACAATACAGAGAAAACCCTGTCTCGAAAAAAAACAAAAACCAAACAAACTAAAAGATTACAAAATATTAGATGTTAATTGACCCAATGAGGAACAGCAGTATGGTAAAATAGAAAAACTAATGTTCAAAAGTTCTAGTTATAGCTTGTTTGTGTCTTAGAGTAGCAGGGATGGTATACATGTGTTATAGGACACTTTAGGAAATAATAAGAAAATACAAGTGAAGGTACTTTTTTTTTGGTGTTTCAAGACAGGGTTTCTTTGTATTGTTTTGGAGGCTGTCCTAGAACTCACCCTGTAGACCAGGCTGGCCTTGTCTACACCTGCCTCTGCCTCCTGAGTGCTAACATTAAAGGCGTGAGTCACCAACGCCCAGCGTGAAGGTACTTTTAAGAAAGATGTATTCTTTGTTTTCATGTGGTGTGGTGTTTTGCCTGTGTGTACATTTTATACCACGTGTCTGACGCCCACAGAGGCCAGAAGAGGATGTGGGATCCCTGGAACTGGAGTTATAGATAGCTGTGTACTGCCATATGGGTGTTGAGACCCAAATTCAGGTTCTTTCCAAGAGTACCAAGTGCTCTTAAACCACTCAGCCTTCTCTCCAGCCATAGGATGGTGCTTTTTTGATTTTTGTTCTTTGAGACTGGGTTTCACTATGTAGCTTTAGCTATGTAGAACAGGCTGGCCTAGAACTCATAGAGATCTACCTGCCTCTGCCTCCTGAGTACTGGGATTAAAGGTATGCACTACCACACCCAGCTAAGGTACTTTTTTTGAGAAGCATGAAGTTCTTCTAGTCAGGTATCAGGTATAAAAGTTACTCGAAGAATATCATGGTGCCAATCCCAGCACTCGGGAGGCAGAGGCAGGCGGCTCTCTGTGAGTTCGAGGCCAGCCTGGTCTACAGAGTGAGTTCCAGGACAGCCTCCAAAACAATACAGAGAAACCCTGTCTCGAAAAACCAAAAAAAAAAAAAAGAATATCATGGTGCCTTGTTCACAACCACTGACTGAGAAAGAGAAAGAAAGACACTTACCTTTTTTGAGGGCAGTTTCCTCAATCCTCTCCAAATAATATATATTGAGCAGAGGTAAGATGCTTTGAAGTATTGGGCCTGGGAGAGCTACAAAAACCAAAAGACAAAGTTTACTATCTTAAGGCAGCTGGAATTCAGGGGAAAGGATGAGTTAAACAAATTGGTCTGCTCTCTGAGGTCAGTATACTTCTGTCCAAGAAGCATTGGGCCCTGAGTATACTCTGAGAAGTACTTTCCTATGAAAACTAAAGTTAACTTTTGTTCTCTAAACTCATTATACCTTAAAAACAAAACCAGTTTTTTCCTGTATTCCACAAGTGGAGGTGGGAGGATCAGGAATTCAAGGCAAGGCCTGACTATGAAAGCCTCCCTATTACAGGCTTTTGGATTACCTTTACTTATTCTTCCCCCTTGGCCTCATTGCAAAAGCAGTGCTAATCTTAAAAAAAAAAAAAGAAAGAAAAGGCTAAATAATTCGTCTAACACACAACTATGAGTCAGAATTTGTCCAACTCTAGATATAAAGTCCTTTAGTTTATTATACTCCCTCTTAGAACTATAGAAGTTGGGAAGAACTGATAATTGTTTTAAGTCAAAATCTTTTTTTTTTTTTTTTGGTTTTTTGAGAAAGGGTTTCTCTGTATTGTTTTGGAGGCTGTCCTGGAACTAGCTCTTATAGACTAGGCTGGTCTCAAACTCACAGAGATCTGTCTGCCTCTGCCTCTTGAGTGCTGGGATTAAAGGCTTGGGCCACCAACGCCCAGCTATCTTAGATATTGGCTATTATTATGTTTATTCTGTCAACAGCATCTCTGTTCTATTAAAAAATTGTCTTTAAGGGGCTGGAGATGGCTCAGAGGTTAAGAGCACTGGCTGCTCTTCCAGAAGTCCTGAGTTCAACTCCCACTAACCACATGGTGGCGCACAACCATCAGTAATGACATCTGTTGCCTTCTACTGGCATGCAGGCATACATCAGGCAGAACACGATATACATAATAAATAAATCTTTTAAAAATTGTCCTTAAATTATGTGTATATGTATGTGTTTATATGCAGATATGTACAAGTGAGTGCAGGCGCCTGCAAAGGCCAAAAGGTGTTGAATCCACACAGGTGCTAGGAACTAAACTCTTGTAGAAAAGGGGTACTTTGTCACCACTGCCACCACTCTCCTGCCCCCCCATTTTGAGACAGGGTTTCTCTGTGTAACAGTCCTGGCTGTCTTGGAACTCACTTTGTAGACCAGGCTGGCCTTGAACTCACACAGATCTACCTGCCTCTGTCTCTTGAGTGCTGGTATTAAAGATGTGCACCACCACTGCCTGGCCAGCACACCCCCTGCCCCCTTAAAGACTGGGTCTCATTCTTGGCTGGCTTGTAACAAGGCAATCCTCTGTCTCCACCTCCTGAGTGCTGGGATTACAGGTGTGAGCCAGCACACAGCTCTTCCTCAGTGTATTTTCTTTACCCGAGGAATAACTGAATCTTAAGATCTAAGAATCTAGTGTACTTTTTGAATCTATTAGGTATTCAATGATATTCATTGTACCTGTTGAATGAGAGAGCATTATTTCCCTGTGCTATTAGATGTGCCACAGCAGGTATGTGAGGTCAGAGGAAAATCTGCAGGAGCCTTTAACTTGTCAGGCTTGACAGCAAGTGTCTTACCTGCTGAATTATCTATCTCACTGGCCCATTCTGTTTGTTTTTAATTTTTTTGTTTTTCACTACACTCTTGTGTTACCTCTATTTACTCCCCCCCTCAGCAATGCTAGTCCACCACCTTCAAGAAGCTTTTCCTGGCTCTTTTGTAGGCTATCCTGCAACTTCCCTCCAAAATGGCACTGCTTGACATGCCTCTTCCTTGGCCCCTCTAGAAGTTCTCTCTGGAGTCAAGCTCTTGCCCGGTGGCTATTTACTTGATGTAGCCCACTAGAGGCTCTCCGGTCTCCTCTCAACCTGGCTGGGCTCAACTGGGAATAATGAAGTAGTGATGAGGACACAGGAAAGACATTCCTTCAGAGCTCCCCCTTTCCTCTCCATCCTGCTCCCCTCTGTTTAGTTATCCCCTCTCAGACACAGGCATCTCATCTCTCCTACCTATACACTCCACTGTTCCTTTCTCAATTTTTTGAGACAGGGTTTCTCTGTGTGGCTTTGGCTATCCTGAACTTACTCTGTAGTCCAGGCTGGCCTCAAATTCATAGAGATCCACCTGCCTCTGCCTCCGAGTGCTGGGATTAAAGGTGTGCGCTGCCACCTAGCTCTATTCTTAGAAATTCTTCTTAGCTTTCTTCTAGCTTATACTTTTTTTTCTTTAAATGCTTCCTCTCTGCAAGCTTTGACCTCCATACCACTAACCTCTTCTAGCCAAGATCAGTATCTCAGAATCTCCAGGCTGGTGTAGGCTTCCACATTTCCAGGACTTCGCTGAGCCTCTGCTCAGCCCCACCGAGGCCCTTCTCCCATTCACCATGGGGTCAACCTGACCTTTTCTGCTCAGCTTGGCACAGGGCCTCACAATCTCCTATACTCACACAGGGCCTGAGAACTTCTTACTCCTCTCTTCTCCCCCACCCCCACCCACAGGAAGGCACTTGGGCCTGCTCCGCAGTGGCAGCCTACTCCAAGCACAAAAGGACTTACCTGACTATAATGTAAGGCCTCAGAAAGTATCTGGAGCCTCAGTCCTTCAAACCAGCGCCTCATGGTTTATTAAAACCTCAACTTCAATTCTCAACTGACCAGGGCCTACCTTCTGGCAAAGATGTCACCAACACCCTGGGGCCTCCTGGTGTAACAACATGCCCTGTACATTCCAAGGCCAGGGGTTACCTCTCTCCTCCCCTACCTTCCATCTGGCCTGACCTGAGATTTCATCCAACTTCAGCCAGACCCTACTCCACCACCATTCTGTCAGGCCCATGGCCTCCCTCTCTTGAAGCCAGGCCTGCCTCAGAGGGCCTTAACTTTCTCTTCAACTCTCTATCACTTTTCACACCACAGACCCTTTCTCCTCCTAAGTTGCCAGGCCGCTGGCCCGCGGTGTACTCCTACAGCAGGGCCTTCTTGCGACCATCTGGTCCGGGCGCTCCAGGCCGCTGGCCTTAGCTGTTGAGTTTGGACCGCCTCGACAGGTCCCAGCCCTTTGGTACCGGCCGCTCGCAGGCCTGAAGCCTCGGTTCCCTCCCATTCGGACCAAGGCCTCTTCCCCATGATGTGTCTTCTCCCGTTTGGGCTTGTCTGTCCGGGATACTCTGGCCCTTGCCCCGCCTGAGGCCTCCTCGGCCCTTCCCGCCGACCGGTCGCTCGAGCCCGTCCCTGCTCGCCGATCCTCTCCCGGCTCCCTCCACTCACTTTCCAGCCTTCTGCATCGCCCCGGCCCCTCCAAGGGGTCTCCGGCGCTCCCTGCTCTGCAGGCGGAGCAGCCGCTCAGTTTAACAGTGTGGTCGAGGGCGTCGGTGCGCTCCCTTCAGCTCTTGGGCCGTCAAACAGGCCACGGCGCCCCCAGCCTTTCGGCCTCTCCCCCAACCCCATTCCCAGGCTCTCCACTCGGCTGTCGCACCCCGCCCATCCGCTGGGCTTCGGGAGTCTCGCTACGCGGGGTGTACCCCGCGGACAGCGGAGGCCCAGGGCCGTCAGTTTGGGTGGCTCCGGGCCTGGCCTCCTGGCCTCAGGCCTGGCCTGCCAATTTCGGCCCCTGCCCCGAGGCAGCCGGGCCATCCCTGCCCGTCGGTTCGATATCCGAGACTCCTCGGTCCAGTCCGCCTCAGCCCGGTGTCAGTTCCGAGCCTTCGGCTCCGGCCGCCAGTCCAGCCCCTGTCGCTAGGGCCCTGCCAGCTCTGCCCCACACCGGGCCTTCTGGCCTCGCCCCCCGCGCCCCCCGCGGCAAGCCGTGGTTCGGGTCCACTTGCTCGTTTGGTCTCAGTCTTCACTCTGTCCAGCCCCGTCAGTCAGGGAATTCATGCTCCGACTCAATAATCTGACTTCCAGTGCCCCGGGCTGGGCCTTGCCCCGGGCCTCTCGGCCTCGCCCCCCGCGCCCCCTAGCCGCTGGGCCGCCCCCGCTCGCTGCTGGAGGTAGCCCCTCACTCCGCGACTTACCCCACACCCCGCTCTCCAGAACCCCCATATGGGCGCTCACTGCCCGCCCGCACAGCTCGAACAGGGCGGGGGGAGCGCTGGGGCCCGAGGCCGAGCTCTTCGCTGGCGCCGCCTCCCGGGACGTGGCCTCCATGGTCGTTGCTGCCGCTACCTCACAGAACCAGCAACTCCGGGCGCGCCAGGCCTCGGGCGCCGCCATCTTGGGGAGGTGCGCGAGCCCGAGAATGGCACACGCAGGCCGCCATCTTGAAGAGGTCAGCTCTTAGGACCGCTCCATAAGTGATATGGGTAAGATCAGTCACTACGCTGTAACAGAACGCCAAGTAAGTTGGCACATACGGCAAGTGTCTTAGGAAATGCTACTTGAAAGTTACTGTAGATCAATATATTTGGGCCTGGAGTGACCAAAAGGAAGTTTCTTGGCAAATCCTTCGCGGGCATCTATGTCAGCTCCCCCTACCACCTGCAGCTAACGAGTAGTACAGGCCAATCTGTGCATGTGTTCGAGACTACGATGAGTATGCCGCACTTCCGGCCAGGTCGCCGGATATCCGTCAAGTGACCCTTACAAGTCCTTCTCGGTCCTGAAGTGGAGTAGGTGAGGTTGTTTCTCCTGGTGTTGAGTCCCGAACAGCTTCCTGACATGGGACTAGAGGACGAACGAAAGATGCTTACCGGATCCGGAGACCCCAAAGAGGTAAGGCTAGGACATCGGCTCTTACGCTCCCCAGCGCCCTGAGCCCCGGGACCTAGCGCATCAAAGCACTTTCCCTGGCCCTTTTAGTCCGTGCTTTCTTTCCTCCGAGGGTTCGCGGGGTTGAGACAGGCAGGCTCTTTCCGTTACTCATCTTCAGAATTCGTTGAGTGACCTCGGACAAATTAATGCATACTCTTTCTCAGGGCCTGGCTTCCCAACCCACGAATGTGAAGGTTTAACTGGAGTTATAATGCTGAACCGATTAAACTTGTGTTAAAAAAAAAAGAACGCTGTGTTTTCAGTCAGTGGGATGTTTCTAGGTTCTGATTTGACAGGTGTGCGAAAGAAATAGACCGGCGTTAGTCTCTAAGCTAGCTTAGGTCAGGAATCACTATTTGTGGAAGTCCCGGGGACCCAAGCCTTATACCACTTTCTGTGAAAAAGTGGCTCAGGAATTGGGGTGTAGCTTCGCGGTAAAACGTTTGCCTACCATCAAGAAGGCCTATGTTTGCTCCCCATCACCACAAACAAAAAGTGGTTTTGGAACAGTGTAAGGATGTGCGGTGCACCCTGGCAGTGGGCAAAGAGACACCGTATTGGTGGTGGTGGCCTTATATCAGTCAGGGGCAGAGCAGATAGTAGCCTTTCGTTCATCCTAGCTTGATGCCTGGCTTGGTGGCCAAAGCTGTTTCATGCCTAGGGCACATTAAAAGGGTGTAGCATTTGGAGGCAGAGACAGGCAGATCTTTGTGAGTTGGAGGCCAGCTTGGTCTACAGGGTGAGTTCTAGGACAGCCAAGAGCTACATAGTGAGAACCTGTTTCCAAGAAAACAAGGAAAAGACACAGTAAGCCATATGTCAGTATTTAACCTGAAAGTGGTGAGTACCAGACAGTGGTGTACACACCTTTAATCCTGGCACTCACTGAGGAGGCAGGGGCAGCAGATCTGAGCTTGAGGCCAGCATGGTCTATGAAGTGAGTCCCAGGACAGCCAAGGCTGCTACAAAGAGAAAGAAAAGAAAAGACTGTGCAGTGTAATTCTGTGGTGAAAGAGGGAGCTCTTTCCCCGGTTGAGTACCAGTATAATAAATATTGACTGCTTACTGTCCTGAGGGCTTTATTTGTACTGAAACTTGGAGTTTTCCCATGAGCTAAATATTTGTTACATTACTTTTTGTCGTTTTTATAGATGAGACAGCAAGCAAGGAAGTTCATTATCTTGTCTAAGGGAAAGACAGACAGACAGACAATGCACCTGGGAATAGAGTGCAAATGTCACAACTAGAGCCAGAGCTCTATCCACAGTACTTTGCAAAAGCGACTCACTTTGCTTCCCCTCCCTCCCTTCCTCCCTTCCTCCCTTCCTCCCTTCCTTCCTTCCTTCTTTCTTTCTGGTTTTTCGAGACAGGGTTTCTCTGTGCTGTTTTGGAGGCTGTCCTGGAATACTCACTTTGTAGACCAGGCTGGCCTCAAACTCACAGAGATCCGCCTGCCTCTGCCTCCCGAGTGCTGGGATTAAAGGCGTGCGCCACCAACGCCCGGCTCGAACTTTTTACTCTTATGCTGAACCTTGAATCCAGCGCCTTAAGTATTCTGAGAAAGTGCTTTACCACTGATCTTTGATGTCAGTTTTGTTTTTAATTTTTTTTGGGGGGGGTTGATTTTTCAATGTAACTTTTTAAAAATTTTTTATTTTTATGAATATGACTTTTGCTTGCAAGTATGTCTGTGCGCCACAAGTGTGCCTGGTCTTGAGGGAGGTCAGAAGAGGGTGTTGGATCCCCTGGCACTGAAATTAGACATGGTTGTAAGGAATCAAACGTGGTTCTTTTGCAGGAACAGTAAGTTCTCTAAGCCACTTGCCATCTCTCCAGCCCGTTAATAAATCATTTAAGGAACTTGATGAAAAACTTGAATTTATATCCTAAATAACAACTTCACACTTAGGAGAAGCCTTGCCAACTGAGAGAGTAAAGAGCTGAGGTTACAGTTGACCCTCCCTCCCTTCTAGGGTACTTCTGTCTTGTTGGGATTTGGGAATCATGATTGTTAGCTTGTCTTATTTCCCTATGTGCCTTTACTTTCTCTTCTCTCTGATGTGGATAGCTGCATATATAGGCAGGCAAATAACTGCCATGCAGCAGATTCAGGACCTATGCTGATGTTCCTATAGGTAATTTTTACAGTTAGGCAAAGAAAGGATACTAATTTGAAGGTACATGGTGGGATAATAAATAATGTAGGGCCTACTGTTTCTAAGGTCTTAGATGAAGTTGTATAGACTTTTATAATTATTTGACCTGCAAGCCAAAGGGCAGTGATTATAATTTTAGTTAAGTTGGCTAAAGAAAAGAATTTAGGTTTGGACATTTTCATTTTCCATATTCAAGTTAAAAGGCTAGAAAAAATGCTGGAGAGATGGTGCAGTAGATAAAACCCCATACTGCTCTTGCAGAGGATCTGAGTTCAGTGCCTAGTACTTTCATCAGGTGGCTTGCAATCAACTTTGATTCGAAGAGATCTGATGTGTCTGGCCTCCACAGACACCTGCATTCATACCAGCCCCTGACGCACATACCCATAGTTTAAAAAAAAATAGTGACAATCTTAAACAAACAAAAAAGTTGGTTTTCCTAAATTTAGTTGAAAATATAAAGACAAAGTTTAGCTATTTCTATCACTATTTACCAGATACTTTAGTTACTGTTTTGAGATAGGGTTTTATGTAGTCCAGGCTGGACTCAAATTTGAGCTCCTAATCCTCTGCCTTTTAAGTGCTGGAATTACAGGAGAGTACTCCTCACCTGTTTAAGACAAGGCAGAGTACTTTTGTTTTGCAGGTTGGTGCACTGCGTGGGTACTTATGCTCTTGAGTGTATGACACCTTGTTTCCCCTTTCAGTGTGGGAATTGGACCAAGGGCTTTGTGCAATGTTAGGAAAGCACTATCATTGAGTTACACCTTAAGACTACCAAAATACTTCTAAGTTTTTTAGGTCTCAGTGGATTATCTGATGGCTTGAGTCTATTATCAGGCAGTGTTTAATAATCACTGTTGCTTCTAAATTGGGGTTACTTTCTTAAGGGCTGATTAATTGTATCCTAATGTACTTCATTAGGCTATATGTACTTCATAAACTGTAGACTGTCCTGAACACTTAGATCTTACTGATGAAAGTGAAGTAGTGTCTGTCTTAAAATAATATGGTGAGGTGTTGTACATGGAGACAGCTATCTTTGAGAGTTTATGGATTGGGCATAGTGGTTTATACTTGTGATCCTAGCACTTGAGAGGCTGAGGCAGGACAATGAAGAGTTCAAGGCCAGCTAGGGCTACAAGCAGGACACTCTTAAAAATTAAAGGCCATTGTCGGGTGGTGGTGGCACATGCCTTTAGTCCCAGCACTCGGGAGGCAGAGGCAGGTGGATGTGAGTTCGAGACCAGTTTGGTCTATAGGAGATAGTTCCAGGACAGCCTCCAAAGCCACAGAGGAACCCTGTCTCAAAAACCAAAATGAATGAATGAATGAAATCAAATAAAGGCCATTGAGATAGTAAAAGTGCCTGTCTCCAAACCTGAGAACCCGTGTTCAATCTCTAGGACCTACACGGTGAAAGGAGAAAACTGATTTTCACAGGTTGTCCACTGCTGGGCATTGGTGGTGCACACCTTTAATCCCAGCACTCAGGAGGCAGAGGCAGGCGGATCTCTGAGTTCGAGGCCAGCCTGGTCTACAGAGTGAGTTCCAGGACAGCCTCCAAAACAATACAGAGAAACCCTGTCTCGAGGAAAAAAAAAAAAAAAAACAAGTTTTCCACTGACTTGTGTTTGCTGTAGCATGTGTGCAGCCACACACAATAAAAGTAATTAAAAAGTAAATTTACCCAGCACTTGGGAGGCAGAGGCAGGCGGATCTCTGTGAGTTCAAGGCCAGCCTGGTCTACAGAGCGAGTTCCAGGACAGCCTCCAAAACAATACAGAGAAACCTTGTCTCGAAAAACAAACAAAAACCAAAAACAAAAAAAAGTAAATTTAAAGAGCAGGAAGAAGAAAGAACGACAGGATAATTTATTGCTTATAGTTCTTGAAAGAAAAGGGCAGGACAATGTGTAGAAGTGGGCAAAAGGAACCAGAGGAGCTGGGCGTGTTGAGCACATGCCTGTGATCCAGGCATTCAGGCTGAAGCAGGAGGACTGCTGCAAGTTCAAGGCCAGGCTAGCTACATAGTGAGACTCTGTCTCAAAAAACAAAAACAAGTTAGGGCTGGAGAAATGGCTCAGTACTTAAGAGCACTTGCTGCCCAAGCATGAGAACTAGAGAATGGGTCCTAGCTCACAGGTAAAAGCTAGGCATTACTCTGGGCGTTGGTGGCGCATACTTTTAATCCCAGCACTCGGGAGGCAGAGGCAGGCGGATCTCTGTGAGTTCGAGGCCAGCCTGGTCTACAAAACGAGTTACAGGACAGCCTCCAAAACAATACAGAGAAACCCTGTCTCGGGAAAAAAAAAAAGCTAGGCATTA